TCCTGGGCCCTCTACTATTTCTTTGTTATATTAGAGGTTTGCCTGGGACTATTCCTGGGAGTGACGGATCCATGTGTCTGTATGCTGATGATTCTAATATCCTGCTAAATGGAAATTCTAATTCTGAAATTGAAACATCTTCTTCAAAAAATCTTCAAGTAACTCATGAATTTTTAAAAGAAAAAAATCTTCTTATAAATGCAAATAAATCAAACTTCATATATTTTTCAACCAAACAATCAACAACAAAATTTGAAGCAAAAATTTTTATAAACAATGACAAGATAGACCAAGTTGAACAGACTAAATTTCTTGGTTTAATTATCGACAAAAATCTTACATGGGACAATCACGTTAAACATGTTGTTAAAAAATTGACTTCTGGTGTATGTGCTTTAAGACAGATGTCTCAGGTCTGCAGCATAGACACTTTGAGGATAATATACTTTTCATTACTGCATAGTCACATAGCTTATGGAATATCTATTTATGGAGCAACATCAAAGACCAATTTGGATTCTATCCTTATCAAACAAAAGAGAGCTATTCGTCTAATGATGAAACTGCAAAGAAAACAATCAGCTAAGAGATATTTTAAGGAATTACAAATCCTAACGGTGTATAGTCTGTATATATATGAAGCATCTGTCTATGCAAAACAAATTCAATTGTCATCCACTTCAAGCAATACTGGTGACTATAACACTAGGTTTAAAATTAACCTACCCCGACATAAATTGGAATTTTTCAAAAAGAAAACTTATTATTCAGGTTTGATTTTTTTGCAACACCTGCCGGCTTATATAAAGACGGAAGACAATTTGAATAAATTTAAAAGAACACTAAAAGACTTTTTAATTAAATTTTCATTTTATTCCATAGAAGAATTTTTAAACAATAAAAATTAGTAGCTTACATAATTTGAACTCCATAGCAAAATTAGGGGAACAATTTAAATTTTCACAATGATTAGTAATACTTTTTCTTTTCTGTGTATATTTTTACTTAAGCCAAGAAAATGGGTATATGTTTTTTATTTTAATAACTGCTAATGTTATTGTGATTGCAATAGTGTTATATTTTTAATATATTCAATTAGAAATTCTTCACTTATCTTAATTGTATATTTTAATTTAAGCACTTTGTAATATGTAGTTATATGTATTTATAGCCTATTTGACTCTATTCAATACATGTTATTTTGGGTATATGTTTTTTATTTTAATAACTGCTAATGTTATTGTGATTGCAATAGTGTTATATTTTTAATATATTCAATTAGAAATTCTTCACTTATCTTAATTGTATATTTTAATTTAAGCACTTTGTAATATGTAGTTATATGTATTTATAGCCTATTTGACTCTATTCAATACATGTTATTTTATGTATAACTAGCTGTACCCACGGGCTTTGCCCCGTTTTACTTCATAAGTAAGCTCGTTCGCATGGCTCAATCACGTCCTTTTTGGTTGCAAATTAGCTGTACGGTAGTCATAAATTAAAATAAAATAGTGCTGAACCCTGTTGGTAATCCTTGTAACTTAAATGCTATTGCACATCATAGAACAGAACCAACTTGTTTAATTGAAACAGCTGTTAATATTCATTAATTCCATTTAAATATGAGTACTCATAAGGTTAACATGGGAAACTCCAGAGCCACTGGGGCGGAGCCCGAGAGTCGGATCAGAATAAAAATAGCTTAGTTTTCCTATTTAATGCCTAAAGAATCAGTGTACCAAATTTCAGCCTCCTAGGTAAATGGGAAGTGGGAGAATTAGTGATGAGTGAGTGAGTGAGTGTGTCAGTGAGGGCTTTGCCTTTTATATATTTAGATGAATAAAGAATGATTTGATTTGATTTGAACTTCTGTTGCCCCGCCCCCAGTGATCCAGTCTCTGGAAAATCCCTCTTGTGTAACGGTACCCTGTGATGTGGCCCCACAAACTAATCCAACACCCCCACCTACAAAACCAACCCCACAGTGTTTTGTGCGAATGATGGCCAGGTCGCAGGGCCAAGTAATAGAGTAAGCATTTATGAGGCTTATAGGGCTAAAGTATTGAGCAAAAAAAGTGCCCCCGTTACCCCTCCATCTGAAAGGCCACCTCCACTGAGAGAAATCCTACGTCCAAACAGACACGAGCTAAATGAGGCCATATCCTCAATGGTCCATGAGGAAAGTGACGTCGAAGATCTTTATGACTATTCCTCGGGCAGTGGACTCTGACGATCTAGACACAACCGACAGAGGAAATTTCAGGCCTGTTTGGTATAGCCGCAATCTGTTTGGTGACGACCCTAGGCCTAGGCCTATCCGTGTACAGCCCCCTAGGCCTAGGAAAAGACCCACCAATCCGCTTATCATGAAAGACAATACGAGGCTTGAGAAAATTGGCACAGGCCCGCCACCCAAGGTCCCCAGGGCAGCCACCCCTCAAGTTGAAGCCCCTGATCACCAACCAGCACCTGAACCAGCTCCGCAGGGAGGACCGTCGCGGCAAGAGCTGCCTACAGAAGCGCCGTGGGTGAGGGTATATCCGCCTGAGCCGCCAGTGGACGTGAGTTCTAAATTTACAGTAGCAAATCCTGGACCAACTTGTGAAGTATTCAAAAACCTTTTGCATTACTTCTTCCTTTTCTTCACTGGGGCCATGTGGGACATGTTTGTCAATGAGACAAACTTGTATGCCCACAGGAAAATCAACCATCTACAAAGAACTGGATTGTTGTCCCCGCAATCCCGTTTTCGCAGATGGATGGATATCACAGTGGACGAAATGAAGAAGTACCTAGCGCGTTTGTTGTCTATGGGAATAACCCGTCAGAAGAATTTCACCAACTATTGGAGTAATGACCATACACTTCATATTTCGTTTTTCTGCCAAACCATGACTCTTCGTAGATTTCAGCTCATAACATCCATGCTTCATTTGTCATCTCGGGTCTCTCCACCCCGGATATATAAGGATATGATCCTTGGGTGAAGATTCGCAATTTCCTTCAAATGATGAATGGAAGTTTTAAAACTTATTTCATCCCAAATCAGAACGTATGTATTGATGAAAGTTTGGTGGGTATGAACTAACGTACTATTTTCATACAATACATGCCAAACAAACGCCACTCACGGTTTGGCATTAAAAAGTTTGAGTTGTGTGATTCCAAGACGGGTTACGTCCTTCAGTCTGTGTTGTACTCTGGTAAATACTTTTTGTCTGCTGGTTCTGATCCCTTCACTCAGAAAGTTGTTACGTACGGTACCTGATGGGGAAAGTTGGTTTACTGGACAAAGACTATCATCTGTTCACTGATAACTTCTATACAAAGATCGCCTTAGTCCGTTGGTTGAGCCAGAGAAACACCTTTTTGACCAGAACTGTCAAAAAGCGGTCTAAAGATCTTTCTAAAGTCGCCTTGGATACAGTGCTACAAGTTAGTGAGACTTGGTACTTTAGAAGGATGTTTGATGCTTTGGCATCAGTCCTCCTTGTGAAGTTCAAAGAGCGTGAAACCAGGAAACCGGTTCACCTAATATCAAATTGTATGCATGCCCAAGACGTCGAAGTTACCAGTCAAGGAACTAATCACGTCTCAGTAAAGCCAGTGACAATCAAGGTGTACAACGAGTTCCTGGGTGGAGTCGATTCTATGTTGATTAACAACAATGCATGTAAACGTCACTATTTACGTATAAGCATATTTACAGTATTTGCTTTTTGGAAATGCAGCATTGCTTTGTCATTTGCATTATTTGTTACCAATGAAGCTGCACGACCATATGAACGAGGCCCGAATAAAAGCCAGCTTCACTACAAGTAAATTCCACTAAGTTACACCTAACATTCCGAAGAGAGATTATATTTACAACTTTATGTAATTGATAAGGCTGAGACAACTGACATCTGCATGTCTAGGAATTCCAGCTTTAACAGTAACCCGCCACGATCAATTTCTCAAAACTATGCTAGAGGGTTATTCATTGGCACAACAATACGCTATGATGAACCATGTGACACAGGAAAAAAAATCAAAATTAAGGGTGGACCTTCCTTTGAAGTAAAAACGTAACTTCTCAACAAACGAATATTTTTTTTCAAATAAAAGCATTGATTTTATATCCTTTACACTGATGAAATCACGGAAGTTTTTACCAAAAAGGATTCACCAGTAGGATTTTAATACTATTTAGAGGTTCTTCCAAAAGAAGAGACACCAGTTAACATAGTTATAATAACTCCGATGACTTGCGGTATGGAAAATATTTTGTAACTAACGCAATTGTCATAACTGTTTTTACACTCAATTCCTCAAATTAAACAATGCTAAATGCTCAAAATTTGTAAAATTTTACTCTATTTATTTATCCAAGTTAAAGATGAATTAGTTCAAGCCCTGAAAGTAACCGTCTATTTCGACAGGTTTCACCTAGTATGTCTTATTTATGGAAATATTATAAGCCTAATTAAAATTTAATCAGACAAGTTGAAATTTGCTTAATCTGCAGGTTTGCTGCGGCAAGGGTATTTTACGACAACGCCCGTCCACATACCGCCAATCGTACCAGAGAGTTATTGGATGGTTTTGGATGGGAAGTTTTCAATAATCTCTACAGTCCAGATTTGGCGCCGAGTGACTACCATGTGTTTCCAGACGAGGCTCGCTACGCAACGCATTGACACTGACGCTGAATTCCATGCCGGTGTAAACCAGTGGTTAAACTCACAGGCGGTATATTTATTTAAAGAGGGCATTGAAAAGCTTGTACCACGCTTATAAAATTGCCTTAATTTTAATGGTGATCATGTAGAAAAATAGCCTTAGGTTTGGCTTCAAAATGTATATAATAAATTCTTTTTTCATCTTGTATATGGTTTATTTCAAAACATCCGCTACTTTCTGGACAGCCCTCGTAATTATTAAGTGTATCCGAGCCTTAATCCAAAGGTTTTTGAGCATACTGTTCAACTAAGTAAATAATTGAAAATGTTACTTACCCTTGGTGTATAGCTTTAATCTGTGTTGTACAGATGTTATAGCACCTAAAACTGACAACCTATTCACTCTAGACTTTATATTAGAGGCTGTGCCAAATTCATCTGCCAACATTTTACTGACTCTTGATATTTGGTCCTTTGGGGGGATGATCAGTGAAATCATAGATGTTCCATTGCTGTAATAAAATGACAAACCATTATTTAGGCTTAATTAATGTAACTTAATTTAACTTTAATTTAACACTAAGCCTAGGCCTACAAACAACTAAAGTTTAATTCTCCAACCAATCAAGCAATGAGCAATTTGAATGTTTATAGTAAACTGCATCATTTCATCTGTAAACTACATCCTTGATAGGCCTAACCTGTAGAAATTCATTACAAGGAATGTAGTCATAATACAACCAGCTTCAAAAATAGGGTTGACAATTCCTTCCACAGGCTTAGTGAAAACTAAGGATGCCTTTTCAGTTATGGCACTGAATCTTTACAATAAGCTCCCTGATCTAATCAAACTTCTTGAAGGCAACCAGTTTGCTTCAAACCTTAAGAGACATATGAATGAAAAGGCCTAGACTACAGGTTAAGTGAGTTTTACGATGACAATTTTGGCGTCCAAAGACCATTGTCCACGCCATCAGTGGGACACACGTATAACTTTACTCCATTGGAGAAATTTTATTAATATTGTAAAAATATATAGCCTACATAATTGCTCTTTGACAATGCTTATCCAATACATTTGGTCTCAAGCAAAAGAGGAGGTAATGAAGTTATAGGCACTAGAAGACTTAAAGCCTACAGTAAACTCCCTCTTATCCGATCACCTTTTAACCGGACGTCGGTTGAACCGGACTACACTCGGCAGAAATGACATCTCTCTAACTGGGTAATTTTTACCAGCACATTGGTTTAACCGTACTAGATCAGCAGGAAGTGAAATGAAATGAAAATCCTTTATTTCAACAGGCAAAGTTAGGGCCACATGGCCCTTTCTTACACTTAACCTGCCATGGGCGGTACTGAAACGACTGTTCTCGTGGCAAATATTTGAGACCAGTGATCACGGGTCTATATACAATGCTCTCCTAAATTTAAGTTGAATATCACAGTAAACGGTCCGTTTTAACGAGTTTTTGGGGACATTGGATTAACCGGAAAAACCGTTATCCGGACCGGCCTCGGTCCCGAGGAGTCCGGATAAGAGGGAGTCTACTGTTTTTAATTTGGATATGAATTTGAAATTGCAAGCTTAAAGCTTATTTGTAACTAGGTTAAATGAAGACTTAATGAGTAGGCTGGTAACTTTTTAGTCCTAGGCATTTAGTTATTTTTATAAATTAACCAATGAGAAATACGTTAAGTTAGGTAATTCATTTTTAGTCCAAGTCCTCAATCGTTAAGTTAACTCAATCGTAAGTTAAACAAAATTAAGGACTTACAGGCTACAGAAAAAAAAACACATGGGACTTGGCTGTAAGCCAATTCAAAGCTTTCCAATCTTAAGTTCGTATACATCACTTGTGATCATGTAAGAAGGTGCAAGGGGACTCAACGACCATTCGGACTCATGAAAACAAGGCCTCGTAGGTTAGGCCTACAGTTACAATTCTGCAAAGCGACCTCAAAAAAAGGGACTGCAGATCGTTCAAAAGGGAGCATAATTCCTCAGGTATAGGCCTACAAGTTAATTCATCAATAAAAGGTTTAAATTACCTGTATCTGTCAAGTGATCCTGGTTTGTAGTTGGTTGACTACAGCTGTTTCATGTTAATATTAACACATCTTCAGGTCAAATTGTTGCATCGATTTATTCCATAGAATGGTCGTCATAAGGTTTAAAGTTCACAAAAAATAACACATACACGTACACAAAACATTTAACACTGATTGGCAAAAACACAAAACGAAAAAGCGCGTATTTCGTTTTGTGTTTTGGCCAATCAGTGTTATATGTTTCGTGTACGTACGTACGGTATGTGTTATTTTTTATGAACTTTAAATCTTATGACGACCATTCTATGGAATACGGTAAATCAATGCAACAATTTGACCTGAAGATGTGTTAATATTAACATGAAACAGCTGTAGTCAACCAACTACAAACCAGGATCACTTGACGGATACAGGTAATTTAAACCTTTTATTGTAAAAACCAGTGATCCAGAGGCTATACAATAAAAATTAATTCATCAGCAAATGTTTCATTGACTTCTGGAGCAATTGGCAGTAGCAACGATAAGAGCCCCGTGGGGCCCCCCCGCAAGCTTGTTCGTCGGGCCCTCCTCCCAATAATCTTATTATCACATGTATGTAAAGTAAGTATTATCACGTGTATTACCAATTAAAAACTTGCACTTTAGCTTGGCATGGCATCTCCCGAGGGACCAAGGTGACATCATTGTCTACCATGATCGCGGCAAAATCATAGCCTACTTCCCGTAGTCATGGAAGAAACATTTATTATCATAGTTTACCGGGATTGCAACTACACCTATGAAATAATTGGATAACAACATCATCGTCTCCCGCGTTAAAGGTCCAATCCCTAATATCTCCCACGACCCTTAGTGGCGAGAAATTATTTTTTCCACAATAGCGGCAAAATTCTAGATATATATCTCTCGCGGAAAAAATAAAAGTCATTATCGTCTTCCGCAATCACAGCAAAATATTGAACATCAACTGCGGCCGCAGAAACATCATCATCGTCGCCCACAAGAAAATGTTCTCGTCGATATATGCGATCGCGGCAAAAGCGTAGGCCTATTCATTCAATTTCATGAGCTTGATCCTCGCGGACAAGAACAAGCTTTTACTTTTAATTTGACATTAGCCTATTGTATTGAGTAGGCTAAACTGAGAAAATCGGCTCGAGATTGATTTTCTGACTTTGTGCTTGATCTCTCTTAAAGCTTGTAGGCCAGGGCTCTGCTCGGCTCTAAAATCAAAATTATACAGGGTGTTTCAGTAAAGCATCGGGCTATGCAGATTCAGATTCTACATGCAAAAATCAGTCGAAAATGTAGAATAACTTTTTTTCAATTTCGGCTTAGTTTAACCGTAATCCGCCATTTTGTATTTTTTTTTTTATAATTAATAGGTATCTCAAAAGCCCTTAGGGATATTTTAATAAGACTTGCTATAAACTTTAAGTCTACAGGTAGGCCTATAAACATTCTCCAAAAATATCATTGATCAGGCTCATCAAATTTAAAAATGGCGGCTATTTAAAATTTTGTATTAATGGCTGGTTTTCATGGAATTTTACTTTACAAATTTTAAATGGCCGACATTTTGAAATTTGACGAGCCTGATCAAAGATATTTTTGGAGAATATTTACACCTGTAGACTTAAAGTGTATAAAAAGTTTCATAAAAATATCTCCAAGGGTTTTTGAGTTATTAATTATAAAAAAAAAATACAAAATGACGGATTACGGCTAAACTAAGCCGAAATTGAATAATGTTATTCTACATTTTCGACTTATTTATGCATGTAGAATCTGAATCTGCATAGCCGGCTATGCTTTACTGAAACACCCTGTATAAAAATTAACAATTTTTAAAGCAAACCGATTTTTAACGATCTCATTTGGCAGAGGCCCATAGGTAAGTAACATTTTTTACGTAACTCAAAGTAAACAAATCTAAAGCGCGAGGTAAACAAATCTAAAGTGCATCCTCCTAATAAGGTAGTACGCTAAGAAATGAAATGAAATGAAAATTCTTCTTGAAATAGCTTTATGAAAGAGTGGAATTATTTATTAGCTAGTGTCCTAGCCACCTAGGTTAGTTCGCCGATTTAATTGTAAAAACATTGTCAAGTTCATTTAGTTGAATCAGCATAAAAAGGCCCTTTATGGTGTGACCTGTCGGGGGCTAGGAGGATTAACATTACCTCTGTTTTATCTTCCAAGGCCAGGGGCCACATTAGTTCTGAATTCAGCCGTATTATAGCGCCTTCTCACAGTACGAGGACAGTTGATGCAGCCTGCATGACTGATATCGATCGGTCAAGGAATAGTATTAGTATAGCTTTTGTAAACTAAGTTAGGCTACTTGTGCTAACTTAGTGTTTTTAAATACAGATTAAAACATATATATAGACCTACGTCATAAAAAACTTATGGGAATTCTCATATAAATATTGTTATGATAGGGGGCCCGTGTGGCTGAACTTTTTGCACAATCGCAGGCCTGTGTCCCCGTGAAATTTCCTGAAAAATCCCGGTCAAGGCTCACGGGCCCCCCTAGCTCGCGGTCCCCCTGCACTGCAGCCGCCACTAGCACTTAGACGATAACTTATGCCTATCTGTGGACAGGGGTTCTAAGTCATTAAGTACAGTAGGCCCAGGCCTATCAAAATTAGAGAATAGGCTAAGTTAGGCTTCTAGTTTAATCACAGAGGATACGCGTCCCGTAACTGGGCGTGGATTAGGTGTCCGGCAGTGACGTCACCGGGTTGTGGGGGCCCGGAACACCATTACCACAACGATACGATGCACAGCCATTGGTGTTCGTGGTGTAGTGGATAGAGTGTTCGGTCGATAAGCAAGAAGTCCCTGGTTTGAATCCCATCGGTAACTTTAACTTTTTGACAAAGATTTTGCTTTAAATGCCATTTCTTCTTAACTGTAAGTTAACCCTCCAAGTGTCCATAGTTTAGGCCTTAATGTCCACCTATTTTTGGCGCATTTGCAAGGTTTTATTAAAACGGATCTGAGAAGCTTAAAACAATGTTAATTCTAATGTTCTATATACCATTTTGTTTGGAAAATCATGGGCTTCAATATTATATATAAAACATAAGGAACATTTAAAAAAAAAAAAAAAATTTTTAGGTAAAAAAAATATAATTTCGAAAATTTTCAAAAAAAAAATAAGTTCGCGCTCAATGAAATTGTATAAATTATAGGCCTATAAATATTTGAAAATAGCCACTATGTTCTAAATTTTATGAGGATTACAAATATATAATAATATAAGGAAGTATATTTGCAAATAAATAAGTTATGGGCAAAAAACTGATTTCAGTACATAGCGTTTAGCTAAGAATGCATAGCCTAACCATAGCTAGGAATCTGGCTGATAATTTACATCAATATCACTACCTACTTCTTCAGGATCATCAACCAGCACTTCAAAACCACTTAAATCTTCTTATAATGCACCACGTATATCACTACTTTTGATTTTTAACACTAAAACAATGATAAACGTAATAAAACACATCAGTCATCGGTCCGGGGGAACCTAGCTGTTTACAAATACACGCACGTCAGCTGTCTGCTACAATATTTTCGGAACTAAAATGAATAGCGCTTAGGGACAGACCTCTGGAGAAAGCTTAGAATATTACGGAAAGAACGATACCTAACTCGATCCAGTTTAATCCGATTCAGTCAGTCATAGAGCCTTCGCCGTAAACGATGTCTGCGTGTCGAAAAATCGACAAGTAACACTACACAAAGTGTGCTGCTTGTCGAATTTTCGTCAAGTAACACTGGGAGGGTTACCTTAGGCCTACATCTTTTGTTAGAATTTTTGGCATTTCTAATTTTATTTTATGAACAGAATTTAACCATCATTCGATTTTTTCTTTATCAGCAAGTTTGGTTGGTTAGGTTGGGTAACTGCCGGACGAACAATCCACGTCCGGTTACCGGACGCGTATCCTACTCTGCGTAGTTTAATACCATAGACCTAATGTGAATATTTTATTAACATACGTTGTCAGACTGGTTAAAATCATAGGCACTGAAAACTTAAGGTTAAATTAGGCTATTAGTTTGTATTGCTGTATAGACTTAATGGAATTGCTTAGGCCTACTCACCCTCTTGCCATTTCCAGACTTTTTATCAATTTCTTTATTTTCCATATTTCAACGTTCCTGTCAGAGGATGTTTCTTCAGAAGAGTATGAAGACATGATGAAGTATTATCAAATACGTACAGGTAATAATGGAGTATAGTTCTTAACAGATTGATGCAAACCCCTCACCTTGAACCAGATTTGTAAAAATAGGTTAAATCTTAGCAAATAACTGATTAAATGCTCATGAAGGGACACCAAAAATATTATAGTACAATTCTTGTCTTAGAGACTGTATAATGTAAATAGTTTTAGCTTATAAAGTTTAAAAACAGGGTCTTTGCAATGAAAACCAGTTATTTCCGGATACACTAACCACTCAGACACGTATCATAGGAAACGATATAATTGTGAAGCTTAAATTTATAATGTACGCTTGATACATAAAAACACATTTCTAAGACTCTAATTGTTGAGAGGAATTCGCACACTAATAAATATTTCGCAAGCCATGTGTTTGACACACGCACACGACGTTTCACTCATACAAGTCAGTAAGAGGGTTTCTTCCAAAAGAGCGAGCTATTATTGACGTCACCAAATGTCCTGTTATATGATGCATCGCTGCCTCCATGATCGAAAACTAGTCTATACCTACGTACTTCCGTTACTTTACGTAATATGATGGGAGTTATAGTTTTTCGAATGTCTTACAATCATCCCTTAAGAGTATCGCCATAGATAAAACATACTCCCTTATTTTGGTTAGTCAATGGTAAGGTTGGGTAAGGAAGGTAAGGACTGTTTTATTACCATTTACCATTTAGGCTACCATCCGGTGTCTTTTCCACAATCCAAGGATCGGGGAATCGTCAAACTTCTTCCTGGGACCAGGGTAAAAATGGGTTTGTAGGCCTTCATGTCTCAGGTGTTGGAAAGTGTCGGAGACTGTGTAGTATGGCCTATCTAAGTAATTGTTTTAGTTTGCTATTAAAAATTGGTGACAGGTTCTTTGACGGTTTTTAGTTGTGGTGATAATAAATTGAAGAAGTAAGAGCCAGGAGGACTATTATTGAATTTCTGCAATCGATGCTGTGGAAAGTCTATGTTATGTGTGTTGCAGAGGTTGTATGAATGTTGTTCTGATCTTAGGATAGGTGTTGATTTTAACCAAACCCAACCAAACTTGCTGATATGAACAAATATTGTTGACAGAAAGTTAGTGCTGCCAGCGGGATTCAAACTCAGCACCTACGGAATATCAGCCCGACACGCTATCAACTACACCACCGAGGCTGATGGCTTAATACCGAATCGTTGCGGTAATGGTGTTCCCTCAAGAGGAGATCTGACAGCTGAAGTCTTCGAAGGCTCTTCTTTACCTCCCTTGATTAAATACCGGCCGCCAACCTCTTGGAAAAAAAATAATAAAAAACAGCTGATATACAACACCACTTCAAAGGCCACGGCCTGGCCGTGCGTCGGGTGAACGGGAATAGTGGGAGACTTGTTCCTTTTAGCGAATTTCCCATATAGGGATTAAGCTATTACCGTAGTACTCGGCCTTCATGTCTCAGGTGTTGGAAAGTGTCGGAGACTGTGTAGTATGGCCTATCTAAGTAATTGTTTTAGTTTGCTATTAAAAATTGGTGACAGGTTCTTTGACGGTTTTTAGTTGTGGTGATAATAAATTGAAGAAGTAAGAGCCAGGAGGACTATTATTGAATTTCTGCAATCGATGCTGTGGAAAGTCTATGTTATGTGTGTTGCAGAGGTTGTATGAATGTTGTTCTGATCTTAGGATAGGTGTTGATTTTAACCAAACCCAACCAAACTTGCTGATATGAACAAATATTGTTGACAGAAAGTTAGTGCTGCCAGCGGGATTCAAACTCAGCACCTACGGAATATCAGCCCGACACGCTATCAACTACACCACCGAGGCTGATGGCTTAATACCGAATCGTTGCGGTAATGGTGTTCCCTCAAGAGGAGATCTGACAGCTGAAGTCTTCGAAGGCTCTTCTTTACCTCCCTTGATTAAATACCGGCCGCCAACCTCTTGGAAAAAAAATAATAAAAAACAGCTGATATACAACACCACTTCAAAGGCCACGGCCTGGCCGTGCGTCGGGTGAACGGGAATAGTGGGAGACTTGTTCCTTTTAGCGAATTTCCCATATAGGGATTAAGCTATTACCGTAGTACTCGGCCTTCATGTCTCAGGTGTTGGAAAGTGTCGGAGACTGTGTAGTATGGCCTATCTAAGTAATTATTTTAGTTTGCTATTAAAAATTGGTGACAGGTTCTTTGACGGTTTTTAGTTGTGGTGATAATAAATTGAAGAAGTAAGAGCCAGGAGGACTATTATTGAATTTCTGCAATCGATGCTGTGGAAAGTCTATGTTATGTGTGTTGCAGAGGTTGTATGAATGTTGTTCTGATCTTAGGATAGGTGTTGATTTTAACCAAACCCAACCAAACTTGCTGATATGAACAAATATTGTTGACAGAAAGTTAGTGCTGCCAGCGGGATTCAAACTCAGCACCTACGGAATATCAGCCCGACACGCTATCAACTACACCACCGAGGCTGATGGCTTAATACCGAATCGTTGCGGTAATGGTGTTCCCTCAAGAGGAGATCTGACAGCTGAAGTCTTCGAAGGCTCTTCTTTACCTCCCTTGATTAAATACCGGCCGCCAACCTCTTGGAAAAAAAAATAATAAAAAACAGCTGATATACAACACCACTTCAAAGGCCACGGCCTGGCCGTGCGTCGGGTGAACGGGAATAGTGGGAGACTTGTTCCTTTTAGCGAATTTCCCATATAGGGATTAAGCTATTACCGTAGTACTCATGGTAAGACCTGGACGCGGGACCGATTTTTTTTCGTTTTGAGGTCCCTAGAGGCCAAAAACACCATCCGTTCAAATTCATATATATATATATATATATATATATATATATATATATATATATATATATATATATATATGTGTGTGTGTGTGTGTGTGTGTGTGTGTGTGTGTCCGTTAGCACTATAACTGGAGCAAAAATGTTCCGATTTTGATGAAATTTGGTATAAACGTGTAAACCTACATTTATTCGAACGATTTCGCGAACCAGCATGATTGGATTATTGGAACGGGGGTTTACCACGGCCACCTTTACCGGGGGTTTTATGGGGTAAAAATAGGTTTTTTGCATTTTTTACCGAGAAAACCTAAAATTTTGCAATTTCTTTCTAAACGATTTTGTAGAGCTTAAAAAAAAACAAATAATTTAGTATGATGAATCGTTATTATGCGCCTAATGGTTACGGAGAAAATTAAAAAAATATGTAAATTTAAAATTCCCATGTTATTCTTATGGAGAAAAAGTAAACTGTTGTAGTTTGCTTGTTTAAAGAACATATTTTGATCAAATTTGGAAAATGTTTTTATTTTTTACTAACTATTAACATTTTACAAAAAAAGACAGTTTTACCCTCCCTGATGCAGCAAACCTAGGTACTTGTTAAACTAGTTCTATTTAAATAGGAAATAAATGTTATATTTTAGTAGTTAGACATTTTAGTGTAAATCCAATTAGGCAAATGGAAATTCGCTTAGTCTGCAGGTTTGCTGCGGCGGGGGTATTTTTGTCATGCCATAGAGTACAAAGTTGTCGACAAGTTGCGACTATTTCAGTGTCGACAAGAATGGCAAGATCCAACCATCGAAGTATATAACACATCTGGAACACCGGGTGGATAGGAGATTTGGGATAAAAAGCGCGCCGTTTCAGCAACCTACCCCCACCACAAAGGGGGACTCGACGCAGATATGTCAGTTCCTTAAGCCGTGCACGTGGTTGTTAATACGCTCCTGGCCGTGCATACAATAGGTTGACTGGTTGACTGCAATTCAAGATATATATTCGGAATCTGCATTAACTGCAGAATCTTAACAACTAAAAATGTTAAACAAATATCATACCTTGACATGAAAAAGTTGCTAAGCGAGGATTTTTAAAATTTTTTGGTCAGAAACAAACTTCAAGCGACAAAATTGTAGCTAACGAGATAATCTTCAGCATATAACCAAGTAATTTCAAATAAAATTTTCTAGTCGTGTGTAATGGAGTAATTAGTAACGCAAAGAGGTTCTTCATAAATCGCGCCGCGGGCCGTCCTCCCTATGGTTCCGCTGATATTTTCGTTTACGGTACTCCCAGAAACGTTTTGAGTACAACCAATAGTTATATTAAATACATTTTTATTACAGGTAACACATAACTTAATACTGTATTATCACCTTCTAATTTACATACAATGTTACCGTAAATTAAAATATAAAATGCAGACTATATATATACAGGGACAGGGGCTGGCAACCCCCCTTTGTTTAGTTGTAACAAGGGATCGTGTACTATCTGCTTTGTTTGGTAATTAATGAGAAATTTCTAATATTAAGGTTCAGAGCAAATAATTGATAAGGTAACAAAAATTGAATAATAAATTTACAAATCGAATTGTTAGGTTCGTGTTCCTTTGATAATATGAATATTTGTATAATTTTGCAAAGACGCGATTCGTAAAAAAGTTTTTGGTGCCATTGTTATCCTACTAATATTATAAATGAGAAAGTTTGGATTTATGGATGGATGTATGGATGTATGTTTGTGACAAGTGAACGCGAAAAATACTGGTCGGATTGGGCTGAAATTTGGCATGATGATAGCTCACATTCCCGATTAACATATAAGCATATTCTTATTACAAAAATCCTTTCGGGTTCCGCCCCAGTGGCTCTGGAGTTTCCCATGTTAACCTTATGAGAAATGGAATTAAACAAGTTGGTTCTGTTCTATGAAGTTCAATAGCATTAAAGTTACAAGGATTACCAACAGGGTGCAGCATTATTATTTCTTTTACATTTATGACAACAGCTAATTTGCAACCAAAAGGTGAGTGAGCGTAGCGAACGAACTTCAACCTGGAGGCGAGTTAGCGTAGCGAACGAGCTAACATGAAGGCAAGTGAGCGCAGCGAACGAGCTCCAACCCAAAGGTGAGTGAGCGTAGCGAACGAGCTCCAACCTAAAGGTGAGTGAGCGTAGCGAACAAACTTCAACCAGGACGTGATTGAGCCATGCGAACGAGATAATCTTGAAAATTAAGAAGTTAAACGGGGCAAAGCCCGCGGGTTACAGCTAGTTCTGTATATGTTTTAAAATTCATATCATCACACATAAGAGAAAAGGGTTTGGTTAATAATACTAAAAACTCCTAAGAATAAGTTTTACTGCCCACAATCGTGCTTAAATATAGTACAAAGGTTGCATTACATGTTGTGAAACAAAACCAATTTCTTCAATCTCTGCCTTACACCTAACTTATTTTTGTTACATTCATTCATAATGTTCCTAGCATTGGAGAAACAAGTGGTTTTGTAAAACAGTGTCCCTAAAAGATTCATTCATGGCCGGCAGCCCGGTACTGGTATTGATATTTATCATCTGCAAATAAATGAAATATATGATCACATCCATAGAATAGTTAGTTGTATTCTTTAACATATATCAACTATTAAAAAAGGTTAAAATTTATTTAGCTTTTCAATGATCGAGTAGAAAAAACATAAAGAGTTGCTGATTGTACTGAGGAGGTTGGTGTGACATGAAATCAACCTCGTCGCGCTATTAATTACTATACTACATACAAACTACACACTTCTCGATCACATGTTAAAAATCATCTCTTAAACTACAACTTTGTCGCTTACAGTTTTCTTTAGGCCCAAAAATGAAATAAAGGGTGTCCCATTAAGAACGCCGGATTTCAGGAGCGTCTTATCCTTATCTGTATTTCAATAGGAATAACCAAATTATCAGCGATGTTATCAGTATTAGGTCCCATTTGTAGTCATGAATCACTACACGACGGATCAACGCGTGATGATAGTTAAAGTGCACTACAAGTACGGAAGCTGCGCGCTATTTACGGCCGGGACAATGCCCCAAATGATCCATATGTCCGAAGATTGATTTATAAGTTCGAATAAATTGGCTCAGTTCTATTTTGGGGATATTTAAAGTCGCTTGTTTTCGCCAATAATCCTCAAACAATCCAAGACTTGAAGGAGGAAATGATTCGTGACATTAATGGAATTCAACAGGAAGTGTGTGAAAAAGTGATGGAAAACTTTGTCAAAAGATGTCGAGCTTGTCAGTATTCAGCAGGTTGGCACTTACAAGACATAATACTCAATTACTAATCGGAGATACTATGCTTTAAGATTCATGTTTCATATTGTAAATTTAGTGAGAAAATATATGGTTTGTTAACATTTCAAATCCGGCGTTCTTATTGGGACACCCTTTACTTCCATCGCATACAAACTTTTTCATGTCACAATGTAGAAATTGTTAACTCTTTTTAACGATGGAAATTTTATTTCAAATCAAAAGTAAAATTTATTTATACCGTTACAATCTGCATTAAAGCAGATTACGAATATATACACATTATTGTACTTAATCTTTTTTATTGAAGGCTAGGAGCGAGTTAACAACTTCGCGCACTATTCAATGAATTGGCAAAAATCCACTGGGTCCCCCATGGAGGTGGGCGAAGGCTGCCAGCAACGGCGCGCTTTCGTGAACACATACCTAGCATTCCAGTTGTGTCACATACTTCGATGGATGCAACTATTTCATTGTCGATTTTCAAACAGCCATAGTCTGGCAATACCATCGGCTTCCTAATACTAGGATATCATCATATCTTTGTGTGCAACCTGATCCCAACACAAACAAATGCAAACAGCTATAACAGTTACTAGATTAGGAACGTAATGTGACGTCATTTGGAGCAGACGTGCGTGGTTGCGGCAATGGTTGCGGCGCACGTCTGACGTGCGAATAGCCACTGCCACTGCCTGACTGCCTGCCTACAGAGAAAACAGAACAGGGAACAGAGAACACAGCACAACACAACTACCCTCCCACGGAGCTAACCTCAATGTCCTCAATTTAATTTGCTTCTGCTTGCACAATGCACTGATACTTCTTGGCTCTTTGTTGTTCAGTGTTCCTGTTGTTACTATTATTATTAGCTCTGAAATTGTGAAATTGGAAATAGAAATTAGTTACAGCAGCCTATACAATTTATACAATTATTGGTTAATATGCCTTTGACAGGCCAATATGAATATAGGACTATGCCTCCACATCAGGCCTAGTCATAACAAACTTCAGAAACAGAATCAAGTAAACTGTCAGTTTACCTTGTTCTTGTTAGATTTAATCCTGTTATCAACATGTGTGATGATGCCAAACAAGAAGCCAGACTTAATGTCCTTTATTCTCCATTCAGAAAAAAAGAAGTTAACCCACAAGATTGGGAGTCTAAAATGAGTTACTGGAAATGTAATATCACAAATTGGTGCATAGCTTCTCAGATATGTGTATTTTCACAATCAAAACTGCAGACTGTGTTTGTTAGAAATGGACGACCAGCATCATGTCTAACAACAGTTTTGGAAAATATGATAAGGTAAGTACCTAGGCTAAGACTTAGTTGAAACATGGTCCCTTGGCAATCCATTATATTTTTGCGGATGGTTATTGTGTATGACAAAATCAAATACCGTAACTTGGCGATTGGCCATCAACCCCTTGGGTAATCTAGGTAGCCTAATTATGTGTACGAGAGGTCGTCCAGTGGTCGAAACTCGACCAAAAATATGTAATGTACTCACTTAACTATTTTCACCCCACACTGTAAATAAAACATGTGATTGGAGTTTCCTCCATTTGTTTTGATTTTCTGTTTATATTTCGTTGTTATTTCGTAACCAGCATAGCAACGCATAAGATCCATGTTAATTTTTTACAACTTTTAAACTTATTTTTTGTGCTTATCTTTGAGCCTATTTAAATTTATAAAGGGATTCTGCACACCTACAGGAAAATAGCTTTCCAACGGTATGCGTAGATTTTCCCTACGATGCACACGAGCTGAGAAAAAAGGTTTTAAAGAAACATGCTTGCCTATTAATATATAGATAGATTGAGGTGACCAAGGGAACCTATGGTGATTGATATAGGCTATCATTAGAAACTAGATTTTTACCTGTAAACAATGGTGCAAACATTTTTTCTGCTGTCACAAAAACTGAATAAACTACGATCGATTGAATTTGTTTACCGTAAGTTGATGCCTCTTGTACGCTTGTCTCTGTCGCCATTACTGTGTTAAGTTGATTGTAGGCTATAGGCTACTAACACAAACATGAATTATTAAGGATCGGGGTACAGTTTCTTAACTGGGCTATGCTAATATCGATTGAAACTATCGATTCGATTAGTGAACCTTCATGCGAATTTTTCACCATCAGCAAGTTTGGTTGGTTAGGTTAGGTTATGATAGTTTAAATTTATAATAGATACCGTATATATTTAAAAAATAGCGATTATTAATCAATAGGCCTATTATGAATTCGATAGTTTCAATCGATATTAGCATATCCCAGTTAAGAAACTGTACCTAAGGATTGTCTAGGAAACAAGAAGAAACCTATGGCCGCCTTCTCATAACATTAGGTCACTGTGACCAGAAAAATTTTAACGCATAGAGCTAAATGTACCCTTCACACTATAACTTAGGTCACTGTTGCTTGGCAAGGAAATAGTGACCCAAGAGTGTCCCAGCTCAGTCACCAACTGGGTCACATGTTGTATGACTCGTCAGGCAGGACACATTAAGTTACCGGTAGCCTACTTTATTGAGCAGTTCACACTGAGACACTGCGACTAGGGTCACTGTTTGCGCGCACATTGTTCTGAACAAGTGAAGTTTTTGTAAAAGCAGTTTGTTGATGACTAGAAAAATAAGTTATAGGTTATGAGTGAAAGTGAAGTGGTAATAGATGATGGGTCGGAAGTTATACACGATGCGATTGATGGAAGTCCAAGTGTTATTGGGTTTGAGACTGAGAATAGTTTAAATTCAGAAACTGTGTCAGCAAATCACAGCACCAGTAAAAAAAATAACCCCGCCGCAGCAAACCTGCAGACTAAGTGAATTTCCATTTACCTACAGTAGCCTACCGGGCTGGATGGGAACACTTCCATAACTGTTGGCACAAACAACCGAATGAAAATTTCAATCGGTTCAGTAGTTTCGGAGGAGTAATTGTCACAAAAATCCTGCTTGCGTATTAAATAAGTATAGATGGTAAACCAATTAGGTATTGCCATCTATAAACTTGATTGGATTTCTTTTCCGAGTCGGGTTAGCTCTTCTATCCGATCGATTTTCATAATTTTGGCTTTAAACCAAAGGTATGGACGCACCACAGATTGCCATCATGCACCGGCATTCATTTTAACGTATATTTCGAGTTATGCACAAAAAACTGCCTCCCTGTACATTTCAAATGGGAGTAAAATTTGTTTTTTTTTTTAGTTCGTTTGGCTCTTCTATCCGACCGTTTTTTTATAATTTTGGTCTTAAAATAAACGTATGCAAGCACATATTTGTCATCAAGCATCATCATTAATTTATCTTAAGTATTACTCGACAAAAAATATAAATTTTATTTTATTTTTATTTTTTACTTCAATTATAATGTATTCCAGCAGTTAGGCCTATTATATTAACCTATATGTTTTGGTCTAAAAACTTTTAGCGTAATACCAACTTTCATTTGAGCTAGGCCTATTGATTAGCCTATTAAGACCGGATAACCTAAAGCACACCGCTGATTCATGAGTTAACAATAATTATAATCGTTTTAGTACCTACTTAATTATCTGAAATCAATTATACGTAACTCTATTTTTATCTTGGTCTTAAAATACTTCTAGAAATAATGGTTTTCATTTGAGATAGGGCCTATTAATAGTTTTAATCAGTTAAGTTCAAGATACTGTATCGCTCAATCAGAAAACATAAATTTCATTACCGGTACCTATATCTTGGATATGGAATTTAGTTTTAGATATATTATTTACTCAATCCTAATTACGTTATCCTATTTGCCGTTCTCCAAAAGATTATCCAAAAGCAGGTTCATTTGACCTAAGAACCTTCAGTGAAATACCAGCTTCCATTTGAATTATTGATTATTAAGATCGGACATACCTAAAGCACACTGTTAAATCACGAACAACCCAAATTGTTCTAAAAATGGAGTTATTTATTATCAATTTATAGTCAACGATCTTGTTGCAACTTCAACAGTAACTGTCGACTTTGACGGGTTTCACCTAGTAAATCTTTAAAAAATCTAACTTTCATAATAATTTGCAAATCTACACAAATTAGGCTTTCCAGTGGCATATTAATTATTAAAATCGGTTTAGTAGAACTGTAGATTTAAAGATTTAATCGTACAAAGTTTAACAACAACATCTTTAATTCAGTATTTTCTCACGACTATAACTATAACTATAGGGAGGTTCCTTAACGTTTTTGCAAATAACTTTGAAATGGTGAGGAAATCGACCAAAGTGGAAAGTGATATTCTGATAGAGAATAAAATTTACTACAAATCACTATTACCTATGTATTTCTTGAAAATACTCAATAAAGGCGACCTAAAGTTGGCTACAATATAAACTTGGGGAAAAAGGTGTTTTAAATGTATTATTGTTTATTTTGAATTTTTCACCTCAAATATGTAATAAAATCCAACTTTCATAATTATTTGCAAAAGTACACAAATTAGGCTTTCCAAAGACCCATTTAGTAACAAAATCGGTCCGGTCCGGTAGAAGTCTAGATTTAGTTGTACAAAGTTTAACAAAAATATTACTAATTCAGTATTTTCTCACCACTATAAATTTGGAGGTCACTTAGCTTATTGCCAATAACTTTTAAATGGAGGGGAAATCGACCAAAGTAGATGTGATATTCTGAAAGAGAATAAAATTTACTACAAATAACCACTATGCATTTCTTGAAAATACTAAATAAAGGCAGACAAAAGCTGGCTACAAATAGAAACTTGTAAACAGAAACTTGAAAAAAGCAGTTTTTAATGTATTTTTGTAAATTTTACTTTTTTACCACAAATATTAAATAAAATCACACTTTCATAATTATTTGCAAATCTACATGAGTTGGACTTTCCAATGACCCATTAACTAACAAAATCGGTCCAGTAACTTAGAAGTCTAGCTTTAGTTGTACAAAGTTTAACAAAAATATCCCTAACTCAGTATTTTCTCATTACTATAAATTCAGAGGTTGCTTAGATTTTTGCAAATAACTTTTAAATTGTGAGGAAATCAAATTGGAAGGTGACATTCTGAAAGAGAGTACAATTTCCTACAAATTGATATCATACACTTCTAGGAAACACTAAAGAAGCAGCCAAAAGTCCCACCCAAATAAAAAGTGTGAAAAACACTGTTTTCAATGTATTACTTATGGAAAACATGTTTTTTATTTAATTTTTACCATAAATCATAACAAAAACAAACTTTCATAATTATTTGCAAATCTACACGAATTAAGCTTTCCAACGACTCATTAAAATAAAATCGTTCCAGTAGAACTCTAGATTTAGTTGTATAAAGATTTTTAAAACTGAATTATATATAGAATAGATTAAGATTAAAATATTTCTAGGTTAAGCTGTTTTGGAAAACCATAAACTTCTAAAAATTGTGTGCTTGGCTACTATGGCTTTTACTATATCAGTTCTTATCTGGCCGCCGATGAGGATGGACGTGTGCTTCCTGTGTCGCTCCGTCTAGCTACCGGGCACCGTCGTGCCGTGTAATTTTGTTATGTAAATAACTTCACAATATTTTATTGTCGGCACATAGTATTTTATTCGTTCTCGTATAATTTGGTATACTATTCAATTTAAATATGCCATCGTGTGACAAGTGCTCCGTGGAAATTGCGAACTCCAAGGAAGTGTTGGTGTGTGTGGACTGTAAATTGAGCTTTCATCCATCTTGTACTCGTGCTGGAGCTGACAATTTTAAAAAGTTTAGTGTACAGCGGAAATCAACGTGGAAGTGCGACACCTGCGTTACTCCCTCTCGTGCTGAAGTTGACAACTCTACTCTCGCGGCAATGCTACAAAACATGGACACAAAGATAAGCGATCAAATGTCTAAGGTTAGTGACAATGTTGAAACTGTTAGGGATCAACTGATGGAAGTCAATGATACGATAAAAAATATGCAAGATTCTCTAAACTCTCTAACGGTCGATAGTGTAAAACTAAAGGACGATGTAAAGGCAATTGGGAAAAAACAAGAGGAAAGTGATAAAATTTTAAGTACTTTGCAAACGCGTGTGTGTGAATTAGAACAGTATTCTCGGAAAGATAACATCGAGATCGAGGGTGTAGCATTCAAAGACAACGAGAATATATACGCACTTATTGAAGATATTGCCGGACTCATCAACGTCAGATTCTCACGGGCAGAGATTTCAACTGCGCACAGACTTCGAGTGACAAGAGATAGGCCGAACCCATCTATTATAAGCGGGGGTGATGCAATTTGTTTCATTATTTTTTTTCACTGGATACTTAGAATATAACTGTAACCATTACTTAAGTAGTATCTATCCTCACCATTAAGTTAGTAAATTTTTGTTAAGGTACTGATAATAATGCAATCAGTTTGGAATTAATAAAATTAAGTAGTACAGTAGAACTCCAATTATCCGAACTCCAATTAACCGAATCTCCAATTATCCGAATTGCTTATTTCAACAATTTAAAAAACGTAAAGCTACAGTAATAAGTTTTGCAAAATATCAAAGAATTGTTATTAAACACATTTAGCCAATTTTGGACTTTGATGGAACACTATTGACTTAATAACATGTATAGAACACTTGTACTATGAGCATTGTAAATTGTAAAAATGTTCTGATCTAAATTATTATTAATTAAAAGTTCACTTAGTACCGAAAATGAGGATTTTTCTTTAAAATTCCCAGAATTCCGGTAAAACTCTGATTATCCGAATTTTTGATTATCCGAATGGGGTCTGGTCCCTATTGATTCGGATAATCGGAGTTCTACTGTATATTATTTTTCTCTATAACGATCTAGGCTATTTTGTTGTTAGCAGCATAACGGTATACGAGTATTTCTAATCTTTTTAGAATTATTTTCAAACATTCCTAAATAGGTCTGTTAGTCAGATAAAAAATTTAAAATCAACACAGTAATCTAAGTTCCCTACATTTTTGGATGTTGTGCATTTTTTCAATTTTTTCCATAGCATTCTATATTAGTAGATTATTTAGATATCAAAATCGTCCGCGATTGTGCATACCTCAAATAATCAAGACATTCCGTTGATAGCGTATTTCTGATTCCGTATCCGAAATTTTTCAAAACTATTTTATGTGATCGATAAGTTTTATCTATGCCATAGAATGTTAAAATAAAATAGAATAGAGTAGACTTTCTGTTAGATTTATTTTTTTTAAATATTTTGCTATCAATGTTTATTTCTAGCTTTATTTTAATCCCTTGTGTTTAGTCATGTATAACGGCTTGGCGCGTGTCAGACGGCTAACATGGACGGAGACGATGACATACTTGGTATTGACAGCTACAGGAACAATGATTGTATGAAGTCTGATACATATAGACAATTTTCGGATTTGTTTATCTTAGAACCTTCAGAGGGTTTTTTAAAAGTTATTCATTTCAATATTCGCAGTTATAATAAAAATACAGATAATGTATTAATTCTTCTTGAAGACTTGAAAGTAAAATTTGACTTAATTGTACTTACTGAAGCGTGGTTGGAATGTGGAAACAATTTGACAGATTCGGAGGGATATGATGTGTACTCAACTGAAAAACATTGGAACAGAAACGACGGTGTAATTGTGTATTGTAAAGCGGAACTTGGAGTAACATCACAACAGATATCAATGGGTGAGGCGACGGGATTACAATTAGACTTTTACACATGCACTTTAATGTAGTAGCCATATACCGTAGTCCATCTATGAACTATCATTCATTTGTAACTGATCTAAACAACTACTATAGCAATGTTAATAAACACACTACTTACTTTTATGTTGGTGACATCAATATAGAAATTTTACATAGTTGTCAAAATGTTTTTGAAAAAGACTATTACTTAAACATACTTTACAGTGTTGGCTTTACTGATTCTTACTGATACTTTATTGATTTACTGTAAATCACTTTGATTATTCCGCAATAAGTTCATGCATACTTAAAACAGATGTTACTGACCACTATGCTATTGTTGCTAAACTTGAATACTGTTCTTCTAAAAATCCACACACAAAAACAGATGACATCGAAACAATCACTTACATAGACCAGAAATTGCTACAAGAGCTGATTGAGCGTCAGCCATGGGACCATGTTCTGGCTCTGCAGGATGTTAATCTCTGCTGCGATGCATTTATTAGTACTTTTGACCATCTTAAATGCCAAGCGACGAAGTCTAAATATAAAACCAGTAGGCATAAGAAACTAAAGCCTTGGATCACAACCAATCTAATTCGTGGGATACATGAACGTGATAAATTAAGTAAACGTGTAAAAACGCACCCTTTCGACGAAAACTTAAAAGTCAACTATCGTAATTGGCTAAACCGAGAAATCAAGTCAGCAAAAATTTCCTATTACAAACACAAAATTCTCGAATCAACTGGACGGCCTAAAGAGTTTTGGAATATAGTAAATGAAATAAGTGGTATAAAGAAAATTCGTGAAAAATTCCCATTAAGTCTTTTTTATGAGAAATCTGATAAGGACGGTATAAAAAAAGTAGCAAACTCGTTTAATAACTTTTTTACAAATGTAGGTAGGAATCTTGCCCAACGCATACCGCAACTGGCTGGACCTCCGCTGGTTGACGACTCAGCGTTCAGAGTCAGACATGAGTTCCGGCTGGAGCCGGTCACCGACAGCCAACTTGAGTGGTGGTGCATTAGGGATTTGCGTGGTGGATCTGCTCCTGGTATAGATGGAATTTCGGTGATTTTATTACAAAATAATATTCCGGCACTGATACCTCCACTCAAACACCTAGTTAATCTAAGCATTCTCTCTGGACAATTTCCTGACCGTTTTAAGATAGCGAAAGTAGTTCCTTTGTATAAATCTGGCACAAAGCAAGAGTTAAACAATTATCGTCCAATATCCCTGTTGAATGTTATGTCTAAGATTTAAAAAAAATGTGTCAAAATACAATTGCACTGTTATTTGGAAGATAATAATTTGTTATCAGAATGCCAGTATGGTTTTAGGAAGAGTAAAAATACTAGTGATGCTCTCTTCGCTATGAATAAATATATTTCGGAGTGTATTAACGGAAATGAAAAAGCATTGACTGTGTTCATTGACCTTGCAAAGGCATTTGATTCCATTGATAGAAATATTCTTTTAAATAAAATGGAATGCATCGGAATTCGTGGTTTGGCCCTAAAATGGTTTAGTAGTTATTTGAATAAACGAAGCCAGTTAGTTTCTATTAACAACAATTTTAGCGATATACGTGAAATAGACTATGGAGTTGTTCAGGGCAGTACGCTGGGACCATCCCTTTTTTTGATTTACATAAATAATTTAGACAAACTTCCAATCACAGGAAAGCTCTTTTTATTTGCCGACGACACTGCAGTTATATTCAAAGGTAATACTTGGGACCAAACATTCAATGTAGCGCAAACAGATATGTTCCTTATTCAAAAATTGTTCTCCCAAAATGTATTATCAATGAATGTTTTAAAAACAAAATATATGCCAATTTTCCTCAGACAAAGTAGTGAGCCTCCCACCAACCTCAGACTTGTGATGCATGTTTGTGGAGATCCAGGTGTATCTACCTGTGGTTGTTTACATTTGGAGAGAGTAGATCATTACAAGTACTTGGGAGTGATATTGGTTAGTAGGTTAAGATGGGAACCCCATATTGAATATTTAAAGACAAAACTTAGGAAATTAATTTATGTTTTTAGAAACGTTCGCGAAATTCTTAACATTAATGAAATAAAAATGTTATACTATGCATTTGTCCAATCACTACTTCAATATGGAATTATAGTATGGGGAGGAGCTAGTAGCAATATTTTAAAGCCACTGTTTGTCATACAAAAACTAATTATTAAAATAGCTTTTCAATTCAACAGGCGTTTCCCTACAAATGTATTATTCAAAAACACTCAATTACTTTCGGTGCGTCAATTTTTTATCAAAACTTTACTTGTATATACCTACTCTAATCAAGATTTGATAGTGACGCCAATCACACATAACTATTCCACCAGAGGAGCTGTAAATGTAGGTATGCAGGTACCCCGAGTTTTCAAGTCTGCAAACCTTACCAATGCTTTTTATATTGCTAATTTTTTGTATAGGAATATACCATCAGAGATTAGAGATCTACAGGTATCTCTTCCAGTTTATAAACGTTCGGTAAGCAGTTGGCTGTCGGAGATTGGGCTCGATCAGTCTGAGACACTTATCGGTTCAGTATACAATACCTAACAATAATTATACACAAGTACACCAAACAATATTTAGCGTACATATATCAGTAACTGCAACTCCATTCACTCGACTACCTTTTATTTAGCATTAACTGTTCCTGTAGCTGTCTCATAGCTTAGTTGTAAATAGTATTTTGATTAATTTAGTTTTAATTTTTAAGAATATTTCTAAATTGTAATAGAGTTTGTCCCGCGCACAGGTCTTTTACGGCCTATGCGGAACTATTGTTTGTATTTTGTATATGTATATATTGTAAAGATTTTTTGGAAATAAAGCAGATTTGATTTGATTTGATTTGATACTACTTATATTTGGCACTACACAGCTTATTTCCTTATTTGTGTGTGTAATTTTCTATTTTCTTTCTTTTAGAAATATAGGCTATGTATCTTGAATTTTTACTTTATGAACAAAGTACCTACACCTTTTTGGTGGCATTTGGATGTCTCTTCTTATGGAAAAAGGTCCATGCCCTATTTACGCAATCGGATATTTGATATGGAAAGCATCTCAATGATTGTATCAAGTATGTCAGTCAACAGATTAATCAAAGTTTTTACAGCTACATTTCTAATTTATTGTACAAAAAATTGCCCGAGCGAAGAGCGGGCCAAACAGTTAGTAGTGTTTTATAATTGTTTGATAATTGAATATAGAATTTTAAAAGTACTCTTTCACACATAGAAATATAATTGAATCTCTTCATTCATATCATTTGACATTGAATGTGTGTTCATTATTCACAAGAAGTGTCAATATTGATTGGTTCCAGGAACAATGAAGTTATTCGCCTCGAGGAACTACTCAGCAAGGACCAGCCAACTCTCCAGTCTTGGTCCACTTGGGCTGTCAACTGCTTTATCAAAGCACCAGTTGTATGGTCATTTTCTAAAATGAAAGAGTCTTTAATATCTAAACCTGATGACAGATGTGATGAAGAGTACGTCCATTTGACCGTCCTGAAGGTATGGTAGTTTTTTTTTAAATATTTAGTCGGATATGTCTATTGCAGTCAAATAGACCAATAAAGCTTGTCTTCCTCGGACAAACCTACAAGGAAAATAAGGATATCCATTGGTGAAGAAAGCAAATTAACAAACACATGCATTCTTTGTAACATATGTACTGTATATGTATCAATTCTATTGGCTTACTTAATTAGTTTGGAAGGGGTTATCTTGTGAACAGAACTCCTCCTAGAGTTTTTTTAACTAATTATAAAAATGTTTGTGTCAATTTAAAGAACCACTCTGATCTGAAGTTACCTTAAAAATAGCTAGAAGGATGGTAAGGGCTTTGCACCAGTGGCCCTCAAAGTTGTCTTGTCGGAAATTTAATATTTAAAATCAGCTGTGCTTATTTGTTTGGTTTTAATTTGATTAATCTTTTACTTGTGTTTCTTATTTGCTTAGTTATTTTTGTAATTACTGCAGGGTTGTCACCTGCCATGAAAACCTTAATATCCCCACCGCAGCAAACCTGCAGACTAAGCGAATTTCAACTTGACTGATTACATTTTTTCTAAAATATATCCATAAATAAGACATATTTATTCTATTTCCTATTTAAACAACATTAGATTTAACTAGCGCTTAGGTTTGCTGCTAAGGGGAAGGTAAAAATTAGTGTTTTTTGACCATACCTCAATAGTATAGGATGAAATAAATAAATTTGCCAAATTTTATCAATAAATATCCATAAACAAGTAAACTACAACAATTTTCATTTTCTCCATAAGAAAAACATGGGAAAATTACACTATTTTTGAATTTTCTCTGTGACCGTTAGGCATACGACAGCGCTTCAATATACTGAATTATTTCTTTTTTTAAGCTCTACAAAACGATTTAAAAAGAAATTGCAAAATTTTTTGTTTTTGGTGTCAAAAATGGGAAAACCCCATTTTTACCCCATAAAACCCCCCATAAACCCCTGTTCCCATGGTCCGATTATGCTGGATCGCGAACTCGTTCAAATAAACGTAGGTTTACACGTTTGTACCAAATTTTATCAAAATCGGATAATTTTTGCTTGAGTTATCGCGCTAATGGACACATATATATAAATTATATATGAATTTGAACGGATGGTGTTTTTGGCCTCTAGGGACGTCAAAATGAAAAATTAAATCGGTCCCGGGTCCAGGTCTTACCATGAGTACTACGGTAATAGCTACTTCCCTATAGGGAAATTTGCTAAAAAGCTTGAATTAAGCATGCATTCTTGTTACCATGAAAAGGCATGAATTATTCATGAATTTCTCTATTGGATCATGAGTTTTTCAAATAATGAATAATAATTCCACTAATAACATTAAATTTGACAAATTATTTTTTTCATATTTAAAAACAGATAATTAAAACAATAACAAAGAGTCTGGAAATTATTATTAACAAGATCCACAATCAGAAACAATTGCTTGGTTCATTCTAAGTCATTCGAAGTCAGATGCTGATGTAGCTGAGTCTTGCTGAGGACATGATGTGGTTCAAAGAATCATATCCACCCCACCGATGAATAATGGGGGATGGGGACTTAAAATTCCAAAATCGGAAGTTTTATACAATGCTGCACGGGAATCCCAATAAAATGGAATTTCGTATTATTGATGCCTGATTTTTTAGCTTTGTGGATAAAACCAATCATAACTTAGTGCATCCTTTAATAAACGGTATCAGCAATCTGACACATAATTTCTCCCATTAGCTTCTCAACGACCTTTAATATGGGTAAGCGATGAGAGTAGGGGAAAGTCGTGTAGTATCGGACAGCAGGTAGTATCGGACAATTGCTCTAGCTCTTGCCGCTAGAGGCAGCACTGAATAGGACATCAGCAGAAGCACCAAGGAGAAAGACTATGTGAGCGCCATTATGAGTTTCGTGCCTCTTATTTAACTTATCTGACAGGGGCAGGTCGAGACCTTAAAGCACTTCATCCGAAATCGAATTATTGCGCACCCCAGATACTTAATTGCTTTCTTGTTGACCTACAAGTTGAGGCGCCCAATGAATGCCTGTAGCTTCCCAATTAGTTCATCCTCAGGAAGATATCTACCTCTAGCCATATTTCCAAGAGTTATCGATCTAGCGTCAGAGAGCTCGTTACAATCAAAGAGTAAGTGATCAGCTGTCTCTTCTGACCTATCACAGTACCTACAGATCGGTTCACCATCATATAAGCCCATCCGTTGTAGATGTTTCCTGAATCTTCCATGACCAGTTATCAGTTCAACAATTACTTTAATTCTTCGTCTGTCTAGTCTCAAGAGGTCACAGGCAACCTTTTTGGAAGGCCTAAACAGAGTAAGCTTGCTGACCCTAAGAAGGGGAACATCGACCCAGCGTTTGCGATGCTTTTCCTTGGCCCATGACGCAATCGCAGAACATACACTGTTTCGTGAGATGCCACAGAAGGGTTGTGGGCCCAACAATGATGTCGCAGAGGCAGTATTTGCCAATCTGTCTGCAGCTTCATTTCCTTTAATGCCTGAGTGTCCTGGCACCCAGCAAAGCGTAAGGTCATTTCTCCTACCCAACTCAGACACAGAAGCAAGACAATCCCACACGAGCCTGGAGTTGAATTCGTAAGAGTTTAATGCTTTTAAGGTCGCTTGACTATCAGTATAGATATTGATTGTTTTGTCTCTGATATCTTTGTTAAGATGTTCTTGAGTACAAACTATAATGGCAGTGACCTCCGCTTGAAAGACAGTTGGGTACACCCCCATTGGAAGACAAATACCAGTGCCTCCATTCATCCAATGCACACCTGCTCCTGTGCCCCCATTTTTGATCTTAGAACCATCAGTATAGCATTCTAAGTCACCTGTGGGTATGGGTCCTTTTCCGCCAGACCAATCCTTCCTATCTGGTATTAGTACTTTGAAAGGCTTTCCAAAGGAGTATTTTTTGGACATGTGATCTGAAGGTAAGTCCATTTCATCATTATGTACCACCTGAACAATTTTGGAGTGCCCTTTATTGTTTCCTGAGGCTATTCATAAGTTTTCGCATCTAAGGCGTTGGGCTGTTTTACTTGCTACCACCTTAATATAAATGTCAATAGGTAGCATGTCAAGCAGACAGTCAAGTGCCGCTCCAGGACAGCTACTTACTGCCCCAGTTATCATAATAAGAGCAAGCCTCTGAACTCCTGCTAAAGCTTTGACAGCTATAGTTGATTCCATCTTTGGCCACCACACAAGCGAACCATATGTAAGGGCGGGTCGAACAACAGATACATACAGCCAGTGCAAAAGTTTAGGCTGTAACCCCCATGTGCCACTTACCATCCACCTGCATGCCATAAGGGACCATTTGCCACGCTCAGTGACTTTTTGAAGATGTGGTCCCCAGTGAAGTGATCTGTCCAAAATTACACCAAGATACTTCACCTGATTCTGCAGCTCTATTACAGTACCCTGCAGTCTTAGTGGGCCGATCCCATCCAGTTTCCTCCTTCTTGTGAAGGGTACCATTACAACTTTCCTGGGATTTATAGAGAGCCCGACTTCCTGGCACCAACGGTCCACTACCCTTAAAGCTCTATTCATAAGGTCAGTTATGGTTCCGTGGAACTTTCCAACCACAAGGATTGCAACATCATCAGCATAACCTAAGGCGAAAACCCCACTTTCGTTGAGGGTCCTTATAAGGTCGTCTGCTACCAAATTCCAAAGGAGAGGAGAAAGAACCCCCCCCCCCCCTGAGGACATCCTCGAGTAGTTCTTGCCTCGATCGTGTCATTATGGAGTGAGAGCCTAACCTTCCTACTGAGAAGCAAGGATTCAATCCATCTACATTATACCGTGAAAACCTCTTGCTCTCACCGCATTAAGAATCGCTGGAGTACCAGTATTATCAAAAGCACCTTGAATATCAAGAAAGGCACCCAGGGCCACTTCACTGCTCTCTAGAGCTTTCTCAATCTTGCTTACAAGTTGGTGCAACGAAGTCTTGCATGATCTTCCTGAGACATACGCATGCTGATTAATATGTAAAGGATGTGTCCTAAGAGCTGTATCCATCATATATCTTGAGACCAACTTTTCTAGGATATTAAGAAAGAAAGAAGATAGAGAAATTGGTCTAAATGACTTAGGGTCAGTGTAACTATCCCTTCCTGGTTTAGGAATAAATGTGATACGCGAATTACACCACCCTAAGGGAATGTGTCCTAAGGCTAAGCTGGCTCTGAAAAGTTTACAGAGTGGGTGTATAATTGTATCAAGACCCTCCTGCAAACAAACAGGTCTTACCTCATCAGGACCCGGCGATTTGAAGGGTCGTAATAAGCCAACAGCCCATCTTACCTTGCTGAAGGTGACTATGCGGCAAGCAGTGCTCCACATAGAATGAGTGGCACGACGGCCCAGGTTAGGCCGCTCTGGACTCACCTCCTCCTGCTGCACTTCAGAAACAATACAACCAGGGAAATGAGTTTTTACCATAACCTTTAGTATTTCGGTAGGTTCAAAAGCCATTACACCATCCGGTCCCTCAACGGCACCCAGAGTAACATGCCTGTCTCTAACAAGTACCTTATGTATTCTAGAAGTATCCTTGATACTATCTAAATTTCCACAAAAATTTTTCCATGAAAGCCTTTTGGCCTTACGTACTGCATGGTTATATTCTGTGAGAGTTGTATGGTATATATCCCAATTATTGGTTATCTTTGCTCGCCTAAAGTGGGCCCTTACTCTCTTCCTAAGAGAGGCAAGTTCAGGACCCCACCAACTAGCCCTGTTGCTCTTTCCCTTGCTCAAAGGACAATTATCCTCAAAGGATGTAACTATGCACCTAGTTAGACGATCTGCCGCCTCGGCAAGCGCATCAACTGTGTTTATAGGAGATGTGTTCAGGTTTGAGGCAATTCTGCCCCGAAGATCAGCTCTGAAGGATGCCCAGTCGGTTTTAACTGGGCTCCTGAATAAGCGAACCTCGCCGCAGAAATTTCCCAACCCGAAGACAATGTGCCTATGATCAGACAGGGATGGCTCAAGGGACACTGACTGGTGTAATTATCCTGTCAGCCATACCCGCCGAACACAGGGTAAGATCAATTACTGATTGGCCTATCCTGCTTAAAAAAGTTGGTTCTGAGCCTACATTTGCAACAAGTAGGCCGCAAGAAGCTATGTATTCTAGAAGTGACCTACCTCGGTTGTTAGTGTCCCTGCATCCCCAGGCCGTATTATGGGCATTGGAGTCGCAGCCTATCACGAGTTCGGATCCAGACTCGTGTGCAAGGTCGACCAATCTTCTGACCTCGGCCGATGGGAACAGTCCATCGTCGCCCTGTGGCATGTAAACAGAGGCCAGCAGCAGTTTTATGTTGGATTTAGTACATACAGTCTTAATTACTGTTACGTCCCTCGAACAAATCTCTAGAACTGGATTACATTTTAGCCCCTCTTTAACCCAAATGCAAGTTCTAGGGTGTGGTACAGATGCAGAGATGATGCTACCCTTTATAGTTCCCATCCCCGCAATTCTAAAATTATTGATCCAGGATCCAGGTTTCGTGCCTCAGTAAACGTCTGTCCTGTGAATGTTTTTTTTAGTTTTTTGTTAAAATTTCTGTGCACGTACTTATGTTTAAGACAATAGTGTGCTAAACTGAGTAAGTACTTTTATGTTTAAACATCAATATTTGATAGTATAGGGGTTGTACTTTGTTTTGCAGGTGAATGGTTAGTTTAGTTTGGTTAGTATGTTAGTGGTAGGCAAAAGGCGGACCATGTTGGTTGGGTAGTATCGGACAAACTTGCGTCGGGTGGTATCGGACAGAATGTGTAGGTTATAATTTATTGAAAAAAATTGGTTGGATAAATAAGGATGGGTTTCTTAAATGGCTTAAATTGTTTGAAAGTAAAGTGAACCCTGGTAAAGAGTCTCCAGCTTTCTTGATTGTAGATGGTCACTCAAGCCATAAAGACTTGGAGGTTATAATGTTTGCTAAGAAGCACCATATCCACATGCTTAGTATTCCTCCTCACACCTCTCACAGGCTCTAACCCCTTGACAGGACTCTCATGAAACCCTATAAAAATGCCTACCACGAGGCTTGCTCACTCTAGATGAGACAATATCCAAACATGATAACCACTCTAAGGGATATGGCTGGACTTGTGAACAAGGCATTTTCAAAAATATGTTGAATGGAGCTGGCTCAATCAGGCTTCAAATGCACTGGGATATTTCCTCTTGACCAAAATGTGTTTGATGATTTAGATTTTGCTCCTTGTTTGGAACTTCAAGGCAGCTTCCACACGGAGACGGTGGTCCTTCAAGGCAGCTTCCACACGGAGATGCTGGTCTTTCAAGTCAGCTTCCACACCCAGACGCTGGTCCTTCAAGGTAGCTTCCACACGGAGATGCTGGTCTTTCAAGTCAGCTTCCATACCCAGACGCTGGTCCTTCAAGGCAGTTCCCAAACCCAGACGTTCAAGCTCGGCTTTCAAGGCAGCTTCCAGATGAAGACGCTGGTACTTTAAGGCAGCTCCCTGACGTTCAAGCTGGACTTTCAAGGCAGCTTCCGGATGAAGACGCTGGTACTTAAAGGCAGCTCCCTGACGTTCCGGACGTTCAAGGCAGCTTCCGTATGAAGACGCTGGTACTTTAAGGCAGCTCCCTGACGATCAAGGCAGCTTCCGGATGAAGACGCTGGTACTTTAAGGCAGCTCACTGACATTCAAACTGGTCCTCTAAGGCAGCTTCTAGATAAAGACGCTGGCACTTCAAGGCAGCTCCTAGACGTGCAACCAGGACCTTCAGGGATTTCATTTGATAAATCTTCAGGACCTGCAAGGCTTCCATCAAACATAGACAAACGGGAGATCTTGACAGAGAAGAGAATTGAAGAGATTCTGTTGGAAAGCCTATCCCAACTCCCAAGGAGTTCAAATACAAAGTTTGTAACAACGCAGAATCGTTCGGAAAAAAGTGAAATCTTGACATCAAGGCCATATAAAATTCAGTTAGAAGAGAAGAAAATGGAAAAGTAGTTAAGGAAAAACTTGCCGCAAAAAGAAAAGCATTGAAGGAAGAGAATCAACATAAGAGAGAAAATTAACAAAATAAAAAGCACAAAGGAAGTCTTAAAAATAAAAACGCTACACCAAGGCCTTCAAAGAAAGAAAATAAGAAAGTTTTGAAAAAGGAAAAAGATAGTATAAATGTAAAAAAATCGCAAAAAGGCAACTGCAGTTTAAAGAAAGAAGTGAGTCTGAAGAAAAAGAAACACATTGCATTATTTGTGACGAGACAGTTCAAGAAAACTGGATTCAATGCTCAGATTGTCTGTAGCTCTGTACACATCCACACAAAACGGTCATCACCTCAAAAACCACTTTTTTGGGTCCAGGGGGACCCAAAACGGATATATCCACTCAAAACTCAAACTCGAAAATGTTGACGAAAACAATACATTCTCCATATACTATTGTATAGGGGGAGAAAGTCAACTACACTAGTATAGGATTTTTCATGTAAGGGGATTAAACAAGATGTTCTTGGCCAGGTGTGTAGGATTTTTGTTTTATTCGTGTGGAGAGACTTAAATGTATTTTTAATTCTTCCCCAATATTTCATTTAGAATAGCTTGACCTGTTTTGTTTTTAACTTTGTGTTAAATGAATTTTCATAAATTACTAAAATAGCTGTACTTACTTTATCTATAAAAGGTTATTCGATATTAACACACAAATAAACTGCCTCTCAAACGTAGGAAAACTCATTTGTGTTGAAATTATAGGAGTGCCTATGTAGCCTATTTGTTTTAAATATGAATAAAACCCCTGAATCTACATGAATTTTTCATCCCACTATGGTGGCAACCCTGTACTGATTTAGTATGTACACTTAAATAAAATCTAACGTGCTAACAAAAGGAATATACGTGTCAGACCCCACATTCAGTTGTTTGTGGCGTTGTCAAGTGTGCGCTTTTTCAGTGATAATATGATAGTGTAAAAACATAGTTATCAACACAAAAATCGTGTTTGATCATAACACACTTAAAAAAAACATAGTGTTTGTTTTGAGGCTATTAATAGAAATTAAAGAGGTCCTGTAATCATGTAAAAAAATGTAATTAAATTAAAATTAAAAATTTAATTATAAAAAATGTATCCCACATCTATTCCTGAAGTAAGGACCCATACCTAAATCAACGACATACTAACTACACAGTATTAACTATATTTTATGTACTTCAATTAAGTGGGATTTGAGGAGGATACAGTGTGAATGCTTCACACGGGTCGGCTAGTTGTGAATTATTTAGCAAAAGGTAAATTTGGATTTAAAAGAATAAACTTATGTTATTTGGGAAAACGAGACAAGTTAAGGTTTTAAAAACAAATGATACTTTGTTTTAAGTAAAAAAAAAATTCATAACTTACTTTACCTAATCCTTTTTTTTTATTTTTAGAAACTAACAGAAGACCTGAAGAAGAAAATATTGAATAAATATGGACAGTCAATTATTAATCTGGATGAAATTAAAGCAGTTATAGATATAAAAGATGAACCTAGTTTGAACGCTACTCTTCATTGGCTAAAACTTCAAGGCCAAGCAGCAGTGACTGTGGTAAACAAACATTTGTACTCTATCTGCAATACCGCTTATATTTACATCTAAAACTATATTTCTCAAATCTATGTATTATATCAAATCTAATAATCAATAATCTATAAATAATCTATGTTGGTTTGTCGTTTGTTTGTCCTTCATGCGTTACCAAACGGGCCTTCCGATCAGAGGCGGATTCAAGAATTTGTTGAGGGGGGGTGCACTTTTTAAAATTATTGTGTGGGGTTTTGCCATATATTAACAAACTTGTAGTACACTTTACAAGGGTCCAAAATTTACCCTGTTTTTAAGGTTGGGTGCTGGGTTACTATTTTTTTTTATATACCCCTAAATAGAGAACTGACAAAAATTTGGTTTCAGTTTATTGGTCGCTATGCAATAATTTCACCGCGATTTTGGGTGACGACAACAAATGGTGTTTGTAGCGATGTTCAAGATTTTGCCTCAATCAATCAAATCTTTTTTAGACAACATACTTTGAATAGTGTCATTAAACTAACATAAATAAAAATTATAAACTAAATAATTATAATCATTCATTACAAAGGATTTATAATGTAAAACTAAAAATAAGTTCTATAACTTTAAAAATCAGAAAATTTTAAGGTTACATCAGAGTAAAACTAGGTATCTGGAATTCAAATGAACGTTTCGAGATTACATTAAAAAAATTCTTTGATAGAATAATACAGGTTTCTTTTTCAATAAGTCTTTTAATCAGCTTTTGAATCTAATTTTCTTCTATTTTTTAAATTGGTAATTTTAATTTTTAATTAATCCTGCGTATGTAGGTTTTTTGGTGTAGAATTCTGAATTATGTCTAGGGAGGTTAATTTGAAAGTGTGTATTATATTAAATATTATATTATACTGCAAGTAAATTTTACTTAGGCAATGGATAATAAATGAAATTGTTTTGCAAAAATAATTATCTCAGAAATATACAAACTGTTAACTGTTAACACTCCCAATTCAGGAAAGATATTTTAACTGAATCTGTCCTTTTTAATTTCATGATAACTCTTAATTGCTTTTTCTTGTTTTATAAGTATTCTATCCAAATCGCCTTAGTTTTTGCTCCATAACTGGGGATTCCACAGGATATGTGGGAGTGAATTAAAGAAAAATAGTTTATCCTAAGAGTTTCCAAGTTGCAAATCTTGGACACCAGCCGCAAGGCATAAATGCCAGAGGATAATTTATTTACTACAAAGTTTATGTGACTAACCGAAGATAAATTTTTATCAATGACCAGTCCCAGAAACTTTGTTTGGTTTACCTCATCAATTTTGTCTGTTTTTATAAAAATATTAGGTTAAAAGGCTGTTTTTGATCATTTAGTTGAAAAGGAAATTATATTTGTTTTTTTTTGTGCTAATAAGCAGATTTTTTTCATCCCAAAACTTTTTATAGAGAGAAGACTCCTGTTTGATAATTTTTCATTAGTTTAATTGGATTTTCTAATGGCTAAACATAGTTCTAATGGGTTTTTCTTGCATGATTAGAATTTTATTTAAATTTTTATTTGAAGTTGCCCCATACAGTCCAATGCCATAGTTTGTGTGAGAATGAATATGGGCAAAATATATTTTTTTGAGTGCATCTAAATTGAAAAAAACAAGACATTCTTTTCAATGCGAGATCATGCCAGATACAAGTATGATCTGTGCCTGACTTACTGTTAGGAAGCAGCATAAAATAAAATATTTGCTGTGAGCGTGTGACAATAATCATGTCCACGTGATAACAGGAGGTGTTAGCGATTCAGCTGTGATCGTGGGTGACGATAAGGATGTCCTCGTAATATCAGGTGATGATAAAGATTTTTCCACGATCGCGGGTGACGATAATTATGTCACCGTGACAGGAAGAGAGGTGTTAACGTTTCAGCCGCAATTGCAGATGACGATAAAGATGTCCCCGTCACGGCAGAATTTCTTCACGATTCTTCCGTGATCGCAGGTGACAATAATCATGTCCCCGTGATAGCAAGAGGTAACGTTTGGCCGGGATCGTGGGTGACGATATGAATGTCCTCATAATATCAGGTAATTATAACGATCGCAAATGACGATAATTATGTCCCCGTTATAGCAAGAGATGTTAATGTTTCAGCCGCGATCGTCTCGAGGAATGTCCCTGTGACGATCGTAGATGACGATAATCATGTCCCTGTTATAGTGAGAGGTAACGTTTGAGCTGTGATTGCGAGTGACGATAGTGATGTCCCTGTGACGGCGGGAGTTAATAGTTTTGAGTTAATGTTGAGTTAATGATATAATCAAGTTTCTCCAAGATGTTCATGAATATCTGCTAGTCTCTTTAGGGAATTCCCTGAGGTGGCAGAACAGTAGCGAGATAATGCATTAGCAGCATCATTTTGATTGCCTGGCCTGTAAACAATCTCATAGTTAAAGCAAGATAGATCAAGCCTCTAGTGCAGGATCTTTTCATTTTAGTGCAATGATTAAACATTAAAAAACTGACTTTTGGTCTGTCATTTACCCGTTAGATAATGTCTCCACTTCCGAACATCCTTGATAATAGCGTATGCTTCCTTCTTCACAGCAGCATGGAGTTGTTCTAATTGAGACAATGTTTTTGAGGAAAATGTTACTTGATGATCATTTTGCTTTAGTAGCTTTAGTATCTTTTAAAATGTCATAGTTTGTGCTGAATTCTGTTGTCAATCATGTGAACGTTTTCAAGTTTACATGTGTTTGCATCAAAACAGATGGCCATGATACAAAGTTGTTTACATCCATACGAAAATGGGGTTATCTGTAGTTGGAGATTGTTCAGTGAATTCAAGTAAAATATTGTAATGTTATTTGTTTAAAATGTAAAGAATAAAATAACTTGGGTTAGATTTTTTGTTTTCATAGGAAGGATGGTAGAGGTTTTTAAGTATGTTTTCATACCTTGAAGAGATTGCGCACAAAATGAAAATAATTGGGCTCACAATCCAAATAATAGTAATATGATGAGAAATAATCGTTTTCACCCTTATCAACTCTTATCAACCCTTATCAAAATCTTATGACTTTTGCTTGAGCTATCGTGCTAATTGACACACACACACATGCCATCACATGTCATGCTATCATACTGATATTATAGATGTGAAAGTGTGTGTGTAAGTTTGTTTGGGGCCAAATCACGCATTACATACATTTTGCTTTAGTAGCTGCTATAGCTCTCTCAGAAGCGTCAGTTTCAACCACAAATAATTCTTTAGGATCAATTGATGATACCACTGCACTTTCTATATTCTTTTTTTTACTGGGATGACAAGACAGCATTAGAACTTTAAGGAAATTTATCGTGAGTAAATCATGGATTTTCTCGGAGAAACGTGGGATGAAATTTGCATAATAATAGAACATGCTCCACCAAGAGCTAATGAGAATCTGGATTGTTTTCCATATTTACAGTTAAGTTATATGTTGACACTGTTTCCATAAATCTCTTCCAATTCATGCCATGTTCTTCTTGAGAGTTTTTACAGATAGTTATGTCGTTTAAGTAAACCTTGGTACCTTAAAGTTTTTTGTCATAAATTATTTTCTTCATCTTTCTTTTGAATGCAGGAACACCATTAGTAACCCCAAAAGAAATTCTCTTTAAGTGTAAGAGCTCTCCACAAGCTTCAAAAGCTGTGAACGGTTGATCCTCTTCTCATGGACTTTGTGGTAAGCACTTTTCAAGTCTATTGTGCTGCCAATTTTCTGATTCGCTACTCTTTTGACAATGTCCTCAATCCTAGGTAGTGGAGGAAAATCATCAAGTGTGGTGTATTGATTGATTGATTGTGAGTAATCAACAACCATTCTCCTTTTGTGATTATCATCAGCGACTACTAACACTTATGCTCTCCAAGGATTCACATCCGAATTCAATGCTTAAAGAAGAGTGATTACCTAAAATGTCATGTCCTATGATATCAGTGCAGAGATCAGATAGTTCGTTGAGTTCAACAGATTTATACACATGTCATTTAACTTTCATACTAACAACATATTCACCATGAGTTGACAAACACAAGGTAGTACTGTATTCACCATCGATACTTTTATGCCTTTAGCTTTGTTAATATCAAGGTTTAATCTCTGTGATAAGTTTTTACTTATGAAACTAGATGAGCTAATGGTGTCAATGGGAGCTTGCACATTTTCCCATTGAGTTCTATTAATTTTTTTAGTGATTGTTGGCAGACTTGTTTGAAAGACATACAGTCACACACACATGCAGCAGAGGGTGTATGTGTGTGTGACTGTATGTTAGGGAAGATGAATGGATTTATGCTATTTTATTACTAGCTATGTTAAAACTTTATTGTATTTTTTGTTATTATTTTAATGTTATTATTAGTTTTTTAGAGGTTAACTGTAAGAAAGGACCATGTGGTCCTAAGTTCGCCTCAATAAAGAAGCATTTCATTTCAAAGACAAACTGCATCCTTAGCTGAACATCTACATCGTAGATGTCTCTGTTGACTGCAGAAATAACATGATGTTTTTGCAGCAGCTGTAATGTTATCTTTACTTGATTGAATTTCTGACAAATTTTTATTTTCTTTGACAGAATTTACAATTGGTGGATCTTGGTAGAAGCTGCTCTGATGTTGTGCTAGTTCCAACGATCTAGCTTGAGTAAATGCATCTATCTAGCTGAGATTTGAGCTTCTAAAATCCTTGACAAACAGTTGAATCTAAAAGTGCAGCAATGAAGGCATCTCGGATACAGTAATTTCTAATAACCTCAGCTGAAACTGATTTGAAGTTTGATTAAAAGTCAACAAAATTTCTCCTAAACAAACAAAAACAATATTTTCTTATGGATAAAATCTAAAAACTAAAGATCATTGTTTTCTTAAAAAGTCTTCATTCAACACTGTAACAATAGCGTGTCAAAAGAAGACTCTTAACCCCTTTGCCAAATTTGTCCACACTATTTTCCATCTTCAGGGGAGTGGGCAGTGTATTGAACAGTTAAATGCCATTGTAAAATAAATGATTTAAAAAAAAACAGTTCTGTGCTTTGGAATGTCTAAATCGGACCGGATTCTCAAACCATATGATAGGGTGAGACAGATTTTGAAAAAGGTTGATATTTTTCTTAACAAATACGAGACAGTTTAAGATATAGATGAACGGAAAAGTAAGAATTTTATAGTTAGCATAAAGTGTTTTACAGGAAAATTTACGACGCTTCTTAAAAACTGTTCTGATGGCTTTCTTTTGTAGTTTAAAAACTCTTTTAGAATTTACACAATTTTATTAAACAAAAGACTTGTCACATGTGTTTGTAGCAAGCCATCCACAGTATACTAGCAACTTAAAAAATACCATACAAAGGGAATAACATCAGTTGTAACTATTGATCAAAGATTACAATGAAGATTACTCGATATACGGGGATTTGGATAAAATAGATCCAATCAAATACTGATTATTTTACTTAGCCTTCTTCCACTAAAACTTGATCCCCAAAGTAATGATGTACCGGTCCCGGTATTCCAAGTAAACTAATTACATCTGGGATTTTTAATTGGCATAAAAATATTACTGTATGCTAAATCCCAATAAAAAAAAATTGAAACTATTATGATTTTGTTTGTATAATATTTTTATCTGCTGTCATTGGCGAGTGTAAAAGTTGAACAGGATTCTGTGCGAGTAGTACATAAACTTAAGGAAGGTTATAAAAGTGTATCTAATTTTTGTTTCATTGCATACTTTTACATTGCAGAGTTGTTATTATTTCACTGGTCAAATGTCTATTGTTTATAGTAAAAATGTATTTCGTAAATTTACAAAATGTCTGTTAACGATATCGTATTAACGATAAAACCCAATCAACCACAACCAAGAGGGTCTCGGTCCCCAGGTACGGTACTATAGTCTTAGCTAATCTATATTTCATCTTATGGTAAAATCCAAAGATTGAGTACAATATTGACATGTTTTACCTATCTTTAAAAGGGCAACATTTAATGATTCCTTGTAAGTAACGTAGGATGTCGTTTGATTTTTCAGGTAAACAACAAAACTTTAATTAAGCTGGCACGAGATAGTGAAAGAGTGAGCTTGATTAATGAGACGGACATAGGGATGTTTCGGCTACAACACAACGAGCGAACATTGAAGCAAATGCTGGAGCAGCTGGAAACTGAGCGCCAGGCAGCAGACCTAGAGGCTCGCAACTACTTAAAGAAAGGCATGAGACAATCTGTGAGTAGATGTCTTATCTTTTTATTTAAAATTTAGGAAGGTTTTGAGGGGGTGAGAGAAACTGAGCACTATTTATTTGGCTGGTGACTTGGTTGTAGGGTATCAATCCATGGCTTGTGAAAGGCGTAATTGTTTGGTTTCACCTGCCCGAAAGCCAGTCACCTCTCCCATAAGCCAGTCGGGTATGGCTTCCCGTGCACTTTATGCGTATGAAAACAGCTTAACTGGTGCTGCTGCCTGTGTCAATAAGCGTAACTGCAATACCAATGCGGAGACTGTTTCATCAAGTGTAAGAATGAACTATCGTGTCGTGGAGTAGTGTAGCCAAATACGGCAGGCACCCTCCTCGTCTACTTTGTAGCGGTAACACCCAGCGGTCTGTACTGTAACCTTCGTTTACTCGTTGTTACTATTTATGTTGGGATAGTGATTAACTACGTGTTAATTTTTAAACATGTTCAAAATCAAAATAAATATGACACTCCTCTAATAAGGAACGTTAAATATTATTTAATTATAAATGGTTGAATGTTGATCCTACCCGTTCATAATCTAAAAATTTTAAGTTTTTATAATAAAAAGATAATAAAAGTGAAATATTTTCACCTACAGTTTAACCTTTTGTCAATTTATACTTTATTGACGTACAGTATTTACAGGGTGTCCACGGACCGGGAAAATCGGGAATTGTATGAATTTTCTTTATCTCCGGGAAATATACGTGAATTTTGTCCGAGGTGCGGGAACTGTTGTTTTTGACGCTATTGCGTAAGGCAAGGGAGGAACTATTACATTTGGCAATGATATTATTCTATCTGATAAGAATAACAACGAAATTACACTTAAAAGGTTCTTATTATAGATTGTGGTTGACGACTTTACTATTTAAGTTTCCCTGCAATTATTTTAGTTCAATCCCATACCTATTCTTATGGTTTCCTTTCTATTGTTTTTCTAAATAAATAGTTAAGCTAGTTAAACTATTTTTTATTTTATTTTCTTTAAACCAAACCTTCTTTACCATCCGGCATTCTGTACAATCAAATGTTTAACACTGTGTTTATAAAATTGAATGGCCACACAATTTCGTGTTATTTTTATTTAGTAATATTATTTTTTTTTAGTAATAGTTACTTTTATATTTATATACCAATAAGTGCTGCAAGCTGTAATGAATGGTTCTGATTTATATCAAAACTAGCAGAGTACCGGTCCTTCGTACAGGGTTGGCAAATAAGTATAAAATGCTTATTGCAGTTATACCCAATCTTTGCGTTTGCGATGTGAGAAAACACGGTTAGAGAAAATTTGCTTCCTCAAATTTACGGTATGCGATAACTGTAAACAATCCTACTTTGACAGTTCTCATTGTGTATCACAGTTTTTTGTTGCTGCTTAGTTCAAATTAGCTGTTTTCATAAATAATGAAAAAAATAATAGTGCTGCACCCTGTTGGTAAATCTTATAAATTTTTAATGCTTTTGCATATCATAGAGTTGGTTCCAAGACACACCTAATGGGGAAGCTCAAGACCTTATATTAGGACTGATGATGGCGATTTAATTTTGCCGAAATGCATCTCCTGTAATAGGATACATTATTATCGACCGGCGGACACAGGTAATTTAACCTTTTATTGATTGTAATAACGATCCAGAACAACAACAAACAACATAAAATGAAGTTATGTATAATAGTTTGGCCAGCATATCTGAAAATATGCAAACCAACTGCCGTTCTTTATACTGTATATAAGAAGGCTTCAACTGAATACTATAAGATCCCCATGCGTAGAACGGGTACACAGCTAGTTGGTTTATATAATAACAATACATATTTATATGTGTGTCCGTCCGGACGATAACTTAAGTAATTTTTGTCCGATTTTGATAAAATTTGGTTTGAAGGTGTAAGGCGGGATAAACTTGAATGAGTTCACGAACCAGCATGATCGGACCATGGAAACGGGGGGTTTTATGGGGTTTTCTCATTTACACCCTTAAAACACAAAATTTATAAATTTTTCTCCAGACCTTTATAAAGAGCTTAAAAAAAACTAATAATTTAGTATATAAAAGTGTTTTTGTATGGTGATTGGTTACGGAGAAAATTCAAAAAATTTTAAATTTAAAATTCCCATATTATTTTTATGGAGAACTAGCAGAGTACCCGTCCTTCGTACGGGGTTGGCAAATAAGTATAAAATGCTTATTGCAGTTATACCTGATCTTTGCATTTGCGATGTGAGAAAACACGGTTTGAGAAAATTTGCTTCCTCAAATTTACGGTATGCGATAGTATTACACATCTACCATAGCCATAATGTTCTACTACTTCACCTACACAATAGAGAAAGATAGATTATTAAAAATTTGCAAAATATCATAAATTATTCATGAAATTAAAAACATAAACATAACTGTAAACAATCCTAATTAGTTTTATAATAGTACATATAACCAAAGCAGTATGAGAGCGGATCTATATTTAAATATTTTAGATTAATTTTATAAGTTTTTACAACATAATATTTTTCATATTTCTATTATCAGAATATCTATCTATATATTAATAGGCAAGCATGTTTCTTTAACACCTTTTTTCTCAGTTCGTGTGCATCGCAGGGAAAATCTACGCATACCCTTAGAAAGGTCTTTTCCTGCAGATGTGCAGAATCCCTTTATAAATTAAAATAGGCTCAAAAATAAGCACAAAAAATGAATTAAAAATAATAATAAAATCAAATGGGTTGCCATGCTGGCTACGAAATAACAACGAAATATAAACAGAAAACAAAACAAATGGAAGAAATTCCCGTCACATGTTTTATTTTCAGCGTGGGGTGAAAATAGAGAAGTCTGCGCATTACATATTTTTGGTCGAGTTTCGACCTCTGGACGACCTCTAGTTCATATTATTATGGAGAATAAATAATACAACAGTTTATTTATTCTCCATAATAATATGCGTGCTTGTCTATGGGCATATTCTAATGTAATTTTGATATTTTGTTTACTTCATACTAAACTATCAATATTTCCCTATTTTCTCCCCTGTAGCAGCAAACCTAAGTACTCATCAAAATTAATTATATTTAAATAGAAAATAAATCTGACAATTTTAGAGGAATAATGTAGTGGAATTCCAGCCAAGTAGATGGAAATTCGCTTAGTCTGCAAGTTTGCTGCGGCGGGGGTATTTTTTTCATCCCATAATCAATTTAACAAGGATACAAGAAATAACTATAGTGAATACTTGGTTACTGCTGATCTTTTATTGAGATACAGTTCAACAACTGCTAATTGGAGAGACCATGATCATGTGGTATGTTGGTTGTACTGAGAGGTGTCAGGATCATGTTGGGTGGTAGGGTTAATCTCAGATACATTTTCTTTCTTCTAGGAAATGAATAAGGTCTTTCACATTAGAAGAAAGACTTTGATCTACAGGTTGCAGATGAGGGTCGAGGAAGTATTATTTCAGTGTTTGAGTTGCAACTTAATACAATGGGTCTTCTTAAAGTCTTATTTCCTCTTTTAGCGAATTTCCCATATAGGGAATAAGCTATTACCGTAGGTCTCATGGTAAGACCTAGACCTGGGACCGATTTACTTTTTCGTTTTGAGGTCCCCAGAGACCAAAAACACTACCCGTTCAAATTCATAAATATATAGGCTATATATATTTATATATGTGTCCGTTAGGGTGATAACTTGAGCAAAAATGATCCGATTTTGATGAAATTTGGTACAAACGTGTAAACCTACATTTATTCTAACGAGTTCGCGAACCAGCATAATCGGACCATGGGAACAGGGGTTTATGGGGGGTTTTATGGGGTAAAAATGGGGTTTTCCCATTTTTTACCCTAAAAACAAAACATTTTGCAATTTCTTTCTCAACCATTTTGTAGAGCTTAAAAAAAAAAATAATTTATCATATTGAAGCGCTGTTGTATGCCTAACGGTCACGGAGAAAATTTAAAAAAAGTGTAATTTAAAATTCCTATGTTATTCTTATGGAGAAAATGAAAACTGTTGTAGTTTACTTGTTTAGGGATATATTGATAAAATTTGGCAAATTTATTTATTTCATCCTATACTATTGACATATGGTCAAAAACACTTTTTACCTTCCCCGTAGCAGCAAACCTAAGCACTTGTTAAATCTAATGTTATTTAAATTGGGAATAAATATGTCTTATTTATAGAAAAATGTTTTAGTAAAAATGTAATCAGACAAGTTGAAATTCGCTTATTCTGCAGGTTGGCTGCGGCGGGGGTATTTTGTTTTAATTTGAGGGGTGCTAGAGCTGGAGCTGATGAAAAGTTTTGTTTGAAATTTTTTGTTGGGAACCTTCCAGTAAGAGCCAGTTTGTTAAATCAGCATTGAACTGATTATTTAAATGTTTATTTTATGTCATGTGTTATTATTGTTTGTTGTTTTTATTTGAGAGTTTTTTGAGTTATTAATTGAATAAAGGTTGATGTATCGTTTTATCGTATAATATTAGTTGACACGGCTACGTACTATACACAAATATTTAATTTATAATTTATATATTTTCATCCAGGCTAAAACCTGTCTTAGAAAAAGAAAAGAACTGGAAAAGTGTATTGAAAAGAGAGCTTCAGCATTGGAAAATGTCCAAGTACTACTGACAAGGGTGAAGGAAGCAGAGTCAGATGGCAAGGTAGGTAAACAGATGCTCACTGCATCTTATCTTGGTTAAAAACTTATACTCATGTCTCAAGTAATAACTCAAGTGTGAGCAACATTTGGCATGTTTGCTCCAGTAGACTCCATCTTTTGGTGAACCATATTAGAGCGGTTGGAAGTGGGCGGTATTGAAACCACTCTGCTCATGGAAAGATTTGAGACCAGTGATCTAAAAATGTTCCAAAGTGATCAAAAAATCTAAAAATTTGAGACGAGTCTAAAAAGAATGCTCTTGCGAATTAAAATAAAATATTTGGGTTTGTTTTTGAGTGTTTCCCATGTTTAGGTGTTTTTTTTTTACAGTAACTATTCCAATGTTTCTAGTTTTACTATGTTTAGGTAAACTATCTATATTAATAAAAGAATTTGTTGGATTTTTGCATTCATCAAATCAACCCCTAAATATTTATTTTTATATGCATATTGGGTATCAATTTAAAGCTCTTATTCTTAAGATGTGCCTTTTGCGGGTTTGGATGATACCCTGTGAAATCCCTTCCTCCTATAGGCTTTTAAAATTTCAGAGTTTGTGCTGAATTCTGTTGTCAATCATCTAAACGTTTCCGAGTTTACTTTTGTTTACATCAAAACAGATAGTCATGATAAAATATTATTTACGTCCATACAAAAATGGGGTTATCGTTACAATTGACGATGTGTTAGTTAATTCAAGTAAAATATTGCTATCGTATTTGTATAAATGTAAAGAAGAAAATAAATTGCGTTAGATTTTGTGTTTTGATAGGAAAATTGTAAATTAATTAAAATATATCAGGACTTTGAAGTTACAAAGTGACGCTGGCTGCTAGTAATTATTATTGGCTTAAATAGTATGCATTAGATGTTCGTAATTTAACAAGTGTTAAAGAACGTCTGTTTAACCAGATAAACAGCGATCTAGACTGGCCTCAGTCCCAAGGATTCCGGATTAGAAGGAGTCTATTGTACTTCATTTTTTTGGAACCCTAGGAACTGAATCTAGAGCAAACTAAAAATAGTCTGAACCATTAGATATATTTCCAAACCTCAAATTAGTGCATAAAATTACTACTGTTTGTAATATACCATGGTCAGGGGTGCCCATCCCCCCCTAGACTCATGACGCACCCCCCCCCCCCCAATTGAGCAACAGCCCCCCCCACCATAAATGATGTACACAACAAATGAGAAACATTATTCCCCCGCCCAGCACTATTTGTAAAACTATAAAAGAAGTTTTATAATTTTTTTAGATCTTTAAAATTCAAACCCAGTTGATATGAATAAAGTTATAGGTTTGTCTGTACATTGAGCAGAATTATACATATTTAGGGTTATTTATGTTTTATACATTGCAGAAGTTGAATCATGTCTTATCTCAATTTATGTTTGTCTGTCACGGCCCAGAAGGCATTTTATGCAGCCTACTCTAAAGAAAACTAGAGTACCGATTATGATTCTAATGGTTTAATTGTATCCACAGGATTGGCAAGAGAGTCCTTATAGACATTAAAATATAGCCTCACTATTTTGGAAATAAAATAACGGACGATCAAAAACACAATTTTGTGTGATTTTTCTAGTTTATTTTCTCCATGTTTACTACATACGTCATTAATTTATGAAATACTAATAATCTGTTAAGAGAACACGTCATATACGAAATTACGAACAGCTGTTTTGATAAAGATTCCTTTTCCTAGCTGTCACTGATATGTTTACATAAATGTTGTTTACGAATACTGTGTAGGCCCTAACCATTTCCGATCACGTTTGTAACCATTTACGATCACGTTTGTAAGCAAATCCAAAACCAAGTGAGATTAATAACCGTGTGTGGCTTTGGCTTACATAATGGGTTTGATTTATCACGGGTACTAATTATGTAACTGTAAATTAAATTAAATAACTAGCCATCATCCAGGTCGGGAACCGGAGATTCTGTGTGTATCAAGTTGTACTTAAATTTTTATTGCAGGGAAAAGACCGTGAATCAGTGTTGTACAGGACTTGAAAACTTATCTTTCTATATAAATAAAATTAGAGTTTTATAAGTCACCTCAATTTAAGGAATTTTTTATTGCCAGAATATCCATATAGAGTTCGTAACCTCTGCTTAACGAATTGTCAGCGTCTTTTCTCGATATAACGATCCCCTCTCCCTCCCTTTAGAAACATCACAGCTCCTTTGATGAAAATGAAATGGAAACAACGCTTGCGCCAACAATCGTCTGCTCCGTTTTACACTTCTGTCTGCTGTGCGCTATGTTACAAAAGGATTTCAGATACAACAGCTGGGGAATGATGACGATATAATGCTTAGTAAACTGTGATTGAGTGATTAGTAACCATGGTAACTTTAGTAAGGTTGTGATTGGCCAATGAGTAGGCCTAAATATGGCGACTTGTTGAATTTGTGTATGAATTGAAGAGAAACCTAACAAAGAAAAAGAATAACAAGATTGTTCTCGTTACATTCTTTTTTAGGAGTGTTTTAATTATCTCTAAATATAATTTTACACTTTTTTATTACTTATCTATATCAATTCCTATGCTGTGATACAGCACCTATTGGTAGCCTATCTGTCTATCATGAGCAGTACCTTATAACACTTTCTAAAGGTTCCTTTAATATTTACGTTATTTATAGCAATGCAATGTTTGGCTGGTGATTAGTAGAGTAATTATGCTGCTTAATAATTAAAGCTAGTGATTAGCTATAATTTTAAACGTTGCCGTTTGTACAACAGAACCAAGATAAATGATATGAAATTTACAATAATAATGTTACTGCACAATAATAATGATTGTGCAATATTGAATTTTGTTTATAAAAAGCACGTTGATAAATTATAAATTGATATTCCCTTAGTTAAAAAGAATTATTTTATAAACCTATAAAACAAAATCATAAAATCTTACATAAAGATAACAAAAAATAACGGAAATTGTAAAAAGGGAATAAAGATAACAACGTCATTATTCTTTCTCTTTGTTCTTCTATTTCTTGGGTTTCCCTTATCACCGTTATCAGCTTTTATGACATAGCGCACAGCAGGGGGTAAAACACTTGAGTGCAGCCGAGCGGCACTAATGAGGGTCGGACCTTCTTGGGGGTGAACAATAGACGGCTTATCAGACCCTCCCCTCCCCTCCCCCGTGGTCTGGAGAAAGCTTGTAAACAAACTATTGCACAAGCGCGCATGACTTGACATTGGGCTGCTTCAATTATAATTTTGTCAAATGAACTGTGATGTTTCAAAATCAAAAACAATAATTTGGGACCATACTGCTTAACAATAATGGACTGCAATTATTGTTGAACATACAATCCATTTTTAACAAACTAAGATTATACGATTCAAATACAATTATAAAGATTATCTTGGTATTTTACTTGGGGTAATGAAGTTATGTCTAGGCTAGTGTAATTCTCGGTTCATCAAGGTTCTACTGAATTATGTTTGGCAGTGAATATGTGTAGAATGCAATTTATAAATTCAGGGATACACACCTTTTACACAGTTATAAAGTCTAATTGCCCAACATCAAATCTTACTCTGTGATAATCCAAATTTTAGTTTCAGAAAAAAACTTTGCAAGAATTGTATCCATCTTATAACTTAACTAGTTTTGAAGTTGATAAAAAAAAATGGTCTTCGCCATTACTTCATCATAACCTCCAGTTTTTCATTGTCATCTGCTGTGAATAGCTGGCAAAACTACACTGTCTTCTAATGAATGCTTTAATATGTTTTTAAAATAAAATAAAAAAAACAACTAGACATTGTGTTGGTTGGAAATAATTTACCAGTTTTGTGAAATTATCTTGTCAATAAATGTTTCAAACATGTTTATTCATAAAAACTCTTATCCTATTTTTAAACTACTTTATCATGGCTATTCAAAGTATCTCAGAGTAAAATAGGTAAAGCCTTTATCTCAACTGTGATTTTTCTTGACACAATCCTCGTAGTAGTAAAAGGTTTTGTTTTAATAATATGTGGTACAGTAATTGTTGTTAGAAAACCATGAATGTAGGATACTATCCATTTTCATAGTAATGTCTATGTATTAAAGTGAAAAATAATGGTTTGGATACAGTTCTGAGAAGAAAACCGCAAAAATACGGGTAGCCGCGTACCGTACCGATTTTGTACCGAGAACCGAGGTACAAAATATTGTACCGTACCGAACCGTACCGACCTTAAATTTTCTGTACCGCAGACCCCTAATAATGGATTAACCGTATTTTTCATTACCCCCCCCCCCCTCTCACTATTAACTCAGGTAATCTAGTATCTACACAATAGTGTAAAGTATTGTAGCCTATGCTACTTGATTGTATTTTAACGAACTTTATGTCAACAAAACGTTCTGTGCTAAGTCGCGGTGTAGCTGGACGTGTCTGTACCATGCGTTATCTTTTATCTATCACAGCAGTTGAGCCATTCCGTGCCCTCCCTCTTAGATCTCACGTCTTGCTAATCTTAAATAATAACTTCCTACACGAATCCTAAACTATCCTAAAATCCTATTTTAACTAATTGAATTCAATAATATAAATATTGTCATTAATTAATCCACTTACTATCTGGTAACTTCGTAATATATTTTGGATTGTCGTCACGTTGAACACTGTTGCAATTAGCTTTAGCCACCCCCCCCCCCCATTTGAATTTTTTGAGCCCCCCCCCCCCAAGAATTTCAAAGACGCAGTCTGCGTCACAGCCCCCCCTTGTGGGCACCCCTGCCATGGTGGTAATATACCACCATTGACTACCACCCAATCTATATAAATAAAATTACAGTTTTGTCTGTACAATTCGTGGAATCATCAAGTTTTTGGTTATTGGGCCATTCCAATGTCACGGGTGGAACACGTAGTCCATGCTTTTCTGATTATATAATCTTTAACAATAGTTCTATAATAATATATGCAATAAAGACCAACCTTAGATTCTTGAATAACTTATTTAGCAGTAGGCCTAAAAGTTTTTTTTATAATTGGATTAAGCTTTTTTAGCTTAATCATTGGATATGAAATAGAGGCAAAAAAATGTACATCTGGGTGTTATTTATTTACAAAGGTTTTGATTTGGCTTGAAACAGTCAGATTTTGTGTTTGGTATGGTTATGTGTATTCCTTCCTCTAATTGTTTTGCTTGTAAATCTAAAAAATGCAAACTTTATTTATATGCAAACCAACTGCTAGCTGTATATAATAAGGTTTCAATTGACTACAAGATCCCTATCCGTAGAACAAGCACACAGATAGTAGAAGAATATATCAATATCAATTTTGTCTGTATGTTCCAAATTGCCCTGAATGAACAGGCTGTAACTTGTTTGTTTCCTCGAGGTCAACACAAAGCGGGACTTATGTACAAATGTGTGAGTCATATGCTGGCAGCCAGCTGAAGTCTGAATCAAACAAGAGAGTACTACTAAATTGTAGGTTTACTCACACTTACCAGAATTGCAAGAAAAACATCAAAGATGCTGATATGATTATTTCAATTGTTGTTATGTTAACAAATGCCAGCAAACTTACAAGGTGTTATGATTAATCAAAGACCTTATTGGTAAAATTTGGATTAAAATCAAACAAGTTTACCTTGGTCTAACAAACTGGATATAACAGAACTAATTTGTATTACTGTTTAATTAGATTTTGGAGTCATACAAGATGGGTTTGGAGGCTCTAAAAGCTACATTCAAGAGTGCAGGGCTCTCTGAAGATAGTGTTGGAGATACGATGGACCAAGTTCGAGAGGTACAAACACTTGTCAAACTATAGATAGAGGAAATTATATTTTAACATACTTCTTGTTAAACATCTTTAAACTTACTACTTACTACAATAAGAGTTTTGTCCATAACATCAATATTTTACTGTCCTACTTACATGATGGAATGGCCTCTGGATTGTTTGAATTAACTGTAGTGGTTTACATTACCTTGTTACCATCCAATACGATCCTTTGTAGTTTGCTATGACTACAGATTGCTTCGGATAGAGCACATCATCAGGTCTGAAGAATGTCAAGTTGTCATTGAATTTTCATCGTGGTGGAGTTGGTATAAAGTTTAATAGTTATCCTAAATGATTTTCTTTATTCTTTTTTGACTAGACGGTAACAAAACACGTGGTATCGGCTGAGGGTGAGTCCTGACTATCACGTATCCGTGTCTTTGACTCGAATTATAAGTGTTTCTTTTAATATATGCTGTGGTGTGGTTGTTCTTTAGACACTTTGTAAATTTCAAACTCCTCAACTGTATCCATGTATTGTCCTTTATTACAGAATAGCACTAACTCTAAATCATTGAGAATATCCGTGTAATTGTGGTTGGAGGAAATTAGATGGTTTGTGTACGCCGATTTTTAATTTTTCTTTGGCTTATGTTTCTCGAACCTGGTAGAAAAAGATCTTGAAGTCTGACCAATGGAAAAATTTGGACAATCGTCTAGTGTTCTTTTAGGGAATTTTCCTATAGGGAAGTAGTTATTACCGTAGGCGGCACGGTAAGACCTAGGCCCTGGATCGATTTACTTTTTCATTTTGATGTCCCCAGAGGCCAGAAACACTATTCTTTCAAATTTGTATAGATATATATATATATATATATATATATATATAAATATCATATATAGATTTATATATTACCAATATTACTAAGTAAATTAAGATACCAAAGTACCCTAAAAACATTTTATTTTATATTACTTACATGTGTTTGTTTTTTTTTTATTTACTTAGTAACATTTAAAGTAGCCCTCATTGGTGTATATAATAAAAAAAAAATTATATGTATATATATCATATATAGACATAAATATATATATATATCATATATAGACATATATATATCATAGACATATGTATATATATCATATATACAGGGTTAGTAAAAAGTCTGGAGACCCCCTGTTAATTTTTTAACGGTCCAAGCTAGAAAAACTAAACTAGGCACACCGTTATGGCATGTCATGAAATACTTTTTGGGCATAACCGCCACTTGGTGTACATCCCCAAAATGGGTGATTTTGGGGGAAACCAAAAAATTCCAAAAGGTAAGATCCATCGTTGTGAAGGTCCTAGTAAAAGAAAACCAACAACGCAAACTAGAGGTATCTCAATCCAGTAAAAAATGGCAGCCAATTGAAATCCTCAGAAGTTACATTTAACTTACAGCTTTCCAAGTCTGGAGACCCCCTGTAAATTTTGTAACGGGTCGCAATAGGAAAACTAAATTCTACACACCTTTATGACATGTTATGAAGTACTTTTTGAGCCTAATTGCTACTTGATTCCCAAACCCGAAATGGGGGAAACTCTAAAATTTTAAATGTTAAGCCCCATCCAGTGGCCCCTCGTTTTGAAGGTTAATGATAAAAGAAAATTAACAACGCAAACTAGAGGTCTCTTTCTCAATCCAGTAAAAAATGCCAGCTGATTGAAATCTTTAGAAATCAGAATTAACTTCCAATTTTAAATTCACTAGATGGGGCCTAACATTAAAAATTTTTGAGTTTCCCCCAAAATCCCCCATTTTGGGCTTAGGAACCAAGTAACAATTAGGCTCAAAAAGTATTTCATAACATGCCATAAATGTTTGTAGAGTTTAGTTTTCCTAGTGTGAGCCGTTACAACATTTACAGGGGGTCTCCAGGCTTGGAAAGCTGTGAGTTAAATTTAACTTCTGAGAATTTCAATTGGCTGCCATTTCTTACTGTATTGTGATAGAGACCTCTAGTTTGCGTTGCTGGTTTTCTTTCACCAGGACCTTCACAATGAGGGGTCACTTTCTTACCATTTGAAATTTTTGAGTTTCTCCCAAAATCCCCCATTTTGGGGATATACACCAAGTGGCGGTTATGCCCAAAAAGTACTTCATAACATGTCATAAAGGTGTACTGAGTTTAGTTTTCTGATATGGGCCGTTAAAAAATTAACAGGTGGTCTCCAGACTTTTTACTAACTCTGTATATATGTGTGTGTGTGTGTTTGTGTGTGTCCGTGAACGCGATAACTTGAGTAATTTTTGTCCGATTTTGATGAAATTTGGTTTAAAGGTGTAAGGTGGGATAAACTTGAATGAGTTCGCGAACCAGCATGATCTGACCACTGGGAACGGGGTTTTATGGGGTAAAAATTCATTTTTTTTTTCATTTTTGACCCTTAAAACATAAAATTTTCCAATTTCTCTCTTAACCTTTTTAAAGAGGGTAAAAAACAAATAATTTAGTATATCAAAGTGTTTTTGTACCGTTATAAGTAACGGAGAAAATTAAAAAAATTGTTAATGTAAAATTCCCATGTTATTCTTATGGAGAATATTGTAAAATGTTGTAGTTTGCTTGTTTATGGATATATTTTGTTCAAACTTGGCAAAATTATTTATTTTATACTAAACTATTAACATTTTACAAAAACAACTTTTTACTTAATATATTACTAAAAAAACACACTTTATCAGTTTTCTTGTAGCAGCAAACCTAGGTACTCGTTAAACCTAATGTTATTTAAATAGATTTAATTGAAAATCGATTCAGACAAATGGTAGACTATTTTAAAGAACTTAAAAAACAAAATTGTTTGTAGGCCTATATTGAAGTGTTTTTACGGTCAAATTAGCTATTGTGATAAATTCAAAACAAAATACACTGTATCAGCAATCTGACACATACTTTCTCCCTTTAGCTTCTCAACAACTCTACCATATTTACCGTGAATATTTCCAAATTTCCATTATTTCAATATTTCCATGAACAATACATATTTATTCCTCGTTTAAACAACATTAGATTTAATGAGTACTTAAGTGTGCCATTACGGGGAAGGTAAAAAATATATATTTTTTTTTTAACAAATATTAACAAATCATGTTATGTTTTTACATACTAGAGGTTGAAAATTCGACCTAAAACATGTACCAAGCAAACATTTCTATTTTTACCCAACACAGTAAATAAAACATGTAATTGGAGTTTCTTCCATTGTTTTGATTTTCTGTCTATATTTTGTTGTTCGTCACTAGCAAAGCAACCCAATAAGGTCCATGTTAATTTTTTAAATTTTTAATAGATTTTTTGTGCTTATTTTTGGGCCTATTTTCATTTATAAAGAAAGGGATTCTGCACATCTACAGGCAAATATCTTTCTAACAGTATGCGTAGATTTTCCAAGTGATGCACATGAGCTGAGACAAAAAGGTTTTAAAGAAACATGCTTGCCTATTAATATATAGATAAGGTAAGCTATCTATATTATTAAAAGAATTTGTTGTATTTTTGTGTGCAGCAAATCTATCCCTAAATATTTATTTTTATAGGTATATTGTAGGGGTCTGCGGTGCACCGAAAAAAGGTAGGTACGGTACTGGCTTAATTACCGTCATCGGTTCGGTACAGCATTTTATTCGGTACAAATTCGGGGTTCTGAGCACACAAAATTCTTATCAGATGTTTGTTTAAACTATCTTCATACCGTAATTTATTTCTAGGGTGACGATGCAATAAAAACCCATTAGCAGTCCCACATCAATCAGCATTTTATCACAAAAATAATTATTGTATTCAAGTACTGTACTTCCAAGAACTGTTGAGTTTTATTCCTTTACGACTTTCCCCAATTGTATTTTATCAATAATAGTTTTATGATGACTGTTAAATTTTATCTTTATAACTCAGTCAGTATTTTCTTGAATATTCAATTTGCCGCTGGTCATTGCCCACTGCCATAAAACTGTTTATGACTTCAAAATGGCTTCATGTTAAACTTGTAACTTTTAACTAATCTACAATCTTATTTTATAAGTTAAAATATTTGTTATGGATATTTTATCTTTCTATTGATGAAACCACAAGCGTAGTAGTAGTTGTTTACATAACTTCTTTCCGTTATGCAAGCCTACTCAGTCTTAAATTATGTCATTGCATGTTCTATATCTTGTCTTATATTGTTGGATGTGGCTGTTAAGGTTTAAATGTTTTTTGTTTCCTATATTTTTTATTGTGTTGAAGGTACTTTATGCATTCTAAATCTTTGAACTAGAATTATGATAGTGATTTTCCTACCCTCATTGTAACCTACTCAATTTATATAGGCGATCCTAAATAATTAGGTCTAGGCCTGGGTCTTTTGACTCTTTGGAAGAGCTTTAAAATATACTAAGAAAATTTGCTTGAGTCTGAGATAAACTAATGATTGATATGTGTGGATGTTAACTTTGTAAATGACAAGGCAACAATCTTACTCTGTGGTAATCCAAATTTTAGTTTCAAAAAAAAACTTTGCAAGAGATGTATCCATCTTATAATTTTGAAGCTGATAAAAAAGATGCTCTTTGCCATTACTTCATCATAACATCCTGTTTTTCATTGTCGTCTGTTGAATGTGAACAGCTGGCAACTACACTGTTTTCGTACTAAATGCTTTTATAAGTTTTTAAAAGTTTAAGAAACAACTAGACATTGTTGTTGGTTGGAAATAATTTACCAGTTGTGTGAAATTGTCTTGTCAATTAATGCTTTAAACATGTTTATTCCTAAAAGTTCTTATCCTGATTTTAAACCCACTTTATCATGGCTATTCAAAGTATCTCAGAGTAAAATAGGTAAAGCCTTTATTTTAACCGTGATTTTTCTTGACACAATCCTCGTAGGAGTAAAAGTTTTTAATAACGTGTGGCTCAGTAATTGTTGTTAGAAAACCATGAATGTAGGATACTATCCATTTTCATAGTAATGTCAATGTATTAAAATTAAACATAATGGTTTAGATACAGTTCTGAGAAGAAAACCGCAAAAATATGGGTAGCCGCGTACCATACCGATTTTGTACCGAGGTACACAAAATATTGTACCGTACCGACCCTACATTTTCTGTACCGCAGATCCCTAGTATATTGGATATCAATTTAAAGCTCTTGTCCTCTAGATTTGCCTTTTGCGGGTTTGTATGATATCCCGTGAAAGCCCTTCATCCTATAGGCTTTAAAATTTCATAGTTTGTGCTGAATTCTGTTGTCAATCATGTGAACTTTTTCAATTTTACATTTGTTTACATCAAAACGGCCATGATACAAAGTTGTTTACATCAATACGAAAATGGGGTTAGATGTTTCATTTAATTCAAGTAAAATAATATTGTAATGTTATTTGTTTAAAATGTAAAGAAGAAAATAACTTAGTTTAGATTTTGTATTTTCATAGGATGTTACCATAGTATGTTTTCATACCTCCAAGAGATTGCGCACAAAATGAAAATAATTGGACTCGCAATCCAAATTATTGGAATATGATGAGAAACAATCGTTTTCACCCTTTACTATATGTATATGTATACTAACTCCCTGGATTGTGCACTCAGGTTGAAGTAAGGGTTCAAAAAAACGGCCGTCGCTACCTCGCTCTGTTCGCCAAGAGTAGGGATAAAGGAATGACTCACCCTAGTGCCAAGCGTCGCGCCCGCTCTCGCCGTGTATTGCTATGTTAGTTTTGTGGAAATATATATTAACTTTTGTATTTACAAAAATGCCCTAAATATAATATAAATATATAATATTTAGGGCATTTTTGTAAATACAAAAGTTGTTCCTTATTGTGTAAGCAAATTTTTTAAATGGCGGATTCTGAGGTTATGCCCACTCTGCCAAGCTGGCACCCACGTGAAAAATGATAACCCACATAGTACCTACATAATCCCTTAGGGTGTTTTTCTATACATAAAATGCACACGGGAACCCCCCTAGCAAGTGGATTAGTATCTAAATCCCGTAAACTGAAGCCTAGCCGGCAGAGCTCCTAGCGCCAATGCCACGCCAAGCGATTTTATGCCTATTTTCAATCGCTTAAAAATGATACAAGCAGACTCTGTATCAAAAAAAGCTTTAAATAAAAAATAAAATGCAAACTTTGATCTAAAACTTTGCCGCAGGAATTTTTTTCCTGAGAAAAAAATAAAAAAAGTTCCTCGCTTACTACATTTTAGCGAATTTCCCTATAGGGAAGTAGCTATTACCCTAGGTCTCATGGAAAGACCTAAGCCCGGGACCGATTTACTTTTTCATTTTGATGTCCCCAGAGGCCAAAAACACCATTCGTTCAAATTTTTATATATATATATATTGTACACATATATATATATGTATATGTGTGTCCATCCGCACGATAACTTGAGTAATTTTTGTCCGATTTTGATAAAATTTGGTTTGAAGGTGTAAGGCGGGATAAACTTGAATGAGTTCGCAAACCAGCATGATCGGACTATGGAAACGGGGGTTTATGGGGTAAAAATAGGTTTTTCCCATTTTTGACCCTAAAAACACCAAATTTCACGATTTCTTTTTAAACCATTTTGTAGAGCTTAAAAAAACAAATAATTTAGTATATTGAAGCGTTATTATGTGCCTAATTGTTACGGAGAAAATTCAAAAAAATTTTAATTTTAAAATTCCATTCTTATGGAGAATAAGTCAACTGTTGTAGTTTGCTTGTTTATGAACATATTTTGATCAAATTTGGAAAATACATTAATTTCTTACTAAACCACAGTACCTTTTAATATTTTACATTAAAAAAAACTTGTTTACCCTCCCTGTTGCAGCAAACCTAAGTACTCATTAAACTAATTCTGTTTAAATAGGGAATAAATGTGATATTTTAAGGAGACATTTTAGTTTAAATACAATCAGGCTGATGGAAATTCCCTAAGTCTGCAGGTTTGCTGCGGATGGGGTATTTCATGTTGTTAATGGTGTTAAAAAAACAATCATCAGTTTTAATTTGCCTAAATAAATTAAAAAAAATATGTTAAGGTTACTAACTACATAGTAATGAGTACTGACTTTTCCAGAAAAATAACATATAAATTAAAATTTGTATGTTTACAAATAAGTGTAGCAGAGCAGGTTGAGTGAATGTATGTTTGTGTAAAACAGAGAGGTTCATTCGGCCCGTCCGCCTCAGTATCCCGCAAATTCGTTTGGCGGGCACGGACCGTTTTTCCACCACACAGCGCGCTATCCAGTAAAGTTATTATACATTGATGGAAAAACCCAGTTCCCATTTTCCAATCATTCTATAGTCCTCGCCACCCTGACTTGAGGCAGCCCAAGGCCGCACTAGATATACAGCGTGCGGTTATTTTTTTTTTTATATGCAATATTTTTTTACTATCAATAACGTGAAAACTACTTGACCTATTAAGCTGATTTTTACCATGAATAGAGCTAATACATCATAGGCTTAATGGACATAGTCGTTTTTTATCTTAATACTCTCCTAGGCAGAGTGCCCTGACCGCTTGCTAAGTGTCTATGATATTCTTATGAATACACTTAATAATAGAATTACCAAATTTATATAAGCAACGTGTTTAAAAATATTTATTTGGTTCTTTATCAAAATTTCGGACATTTTTAGCGAATTTCCCATATTAGGCGAAGTGCTAGGTGCAGTTGAATATGAATGAAAAGAGTCAGAGATTTTGACTTTTGATTTTGGTATTGGGGACCTAGGTGAGTGTAAAAACCCATGTCGTTGCCTCCAGGGATGGTCGACAACATAGAGGTGGGGGCGCAAAGTTGCGAAAAACGTTAATCAGAAAACCACTTTTAACTCCCTTGATATTGAACGTAAGTAAACAATTCATTTAAATTGACTTTTGATTTTGGTAATGGGGACCTAGGTGAGTGTAAAAACCCATGACGTCGCCTCCAGGGATGGTTGACAACTTTGGGGTGGGTGGGGGCGCAAAGTTGTGAAAAACGTTAATCAGAAAACCGCTTTTTACTCCCTTGTTATTGAACCTAAGTAAAAAATTAATTTAAATTGACTTTTGATTTTGGTAATGGGGACCTAGGTGAGTGTAAAAACCCATGACGTCGCCTCCAGGGGTGGTTGACAACATTGGGGTGGGTGGGGGCGCAAAGTTGCAAAAAACGTTAATAAGAAAACCGCTTTTTTACTGCCTTGTTATTGAACTTAAGTAAAGCATTCATTTAAATTGACTTTTGATTTTGGTAATGGGGACCTAGGTAAGTGTAAAAACCCATGACGTCGCCTCCAGGGGTGGTCGACAACATAGGGGTGGGGGCGCAAAGTTGTGAAAAACTTTAATAAGAAAACCGCTTTTTTACTCCCTTGTTATTGTACTTAAGTAAATGATTAATTTAAATTGACTTTTGATTCTGGTAATGGGGACCTAGGTGAGTGTAAAAACCCATGACGTCGCCTCCAGGGATGGTCGACAACATAGAGGTGGGGGCGCAAAGTTGTGAAAAACTTTAATAAGAAAACCGCATTTTTACTCCCTTGTTATTGTACTTAAGTAAATGAATAATTTAAATTGACTTTTGATTCTGG